GGGATCCGATAAGACTCCTGTCACGCGGATTACTGGAGGGCTCGAGATGCACCCACTTTTCATCACCATCGGTAACATTGATTCAGAGGTTCGCTCCAAGGCCACCCTGCGAGCTTGGCGCTGTATCGCCTACATGCCTGTTAGCAAGTTTCGTGTGCATTCCGACTATCAGACCATTCTTCAGGCGCGGCTATGGCATAAGTGCGTTGATCTTGTCTGCGCCAACCTGAAGGTTGCAGCGAGTGATGGCTGTTTTATGCCTGATCCTTCCCGACATATTCGATATGTCTTTACACCACTCATCGCCCATGTATGTGACCTTCCCGAGGCCTCCATGATCGCTGCAGTCAGCAAGAATGTCTCTCCAATCACTATGGCGACACAAGACAAATTCGGTGACGGAATTCTCTATCCTCCTCGCACTGGGAAGCACACACTACAACTTATACACGAGATCGCCAAAGAGATTGATCCTTGGGATCTCGACAAATTTCAGAAGGCAGCAAAAGCTGCCCATCTGTCTGGGGTCCACATGCCATATTGGCTTGATTGGTCGTTTTCGTGTCCATCCGTCTTTCTCCCTGGCGAAGTTTTACATACCCTTCATAAGTTTTTTGCAGATCATCCACTCAAATGGATCAAGGAGATAGTAGGAAAAACCAAGCTCGACACCCGCTTCATCACTCAGCACAAACGGGTAGGGACACACCACTTTACTAAAGGCATTACGCACGTCAACCAAATGACTGGGCATGAGCATCGTGATATTCAACGCACCATTGTTGCTTCAATCTCAGGTGCTGCTCCACCTAGATTCGTTCGCGCAATCCGCGCTCTCATAGACTTTTTCTATTATGCTCAAAATTCAGTCCATTCTCCCGAATCCTTACAGTCGATGGTGCAGGCACTCTCCGATTTTCATGCATTCAAGGATGCTATCGTCGAGGCCGAGGCGAGGAGGGGGAAGAAGGGCGCCAAAGAAGACTTTTTCATCCCCAAGCTCGAGTCACTCCAAAGCTTCAGAGGCACGATTGAGAGACTGGGTACTTTGATGCAGTTTTCAGCCGACATGACGGAGCGCTTGCTCATCACTCACTGCAAGGATCTCTTTGCCCGAACAAGTCGACGAGTGAATGATTTCACGGAGCAGTGCGTACAGATTCTCAATCGGCAGGAGTCAATGGAATTGTTCAACCTGTACGCACTAATCACTTCCCATGGCGCATCGCTCGTCAACGCCATAAACCTTGAAGATGAGGAAGTGACAACCGTCAACCCAGCACTCTCCTGGATTTCTCGTATACTCCCTGATGAAGCATATTCTGTCCATGGACCTCGACGAGTCCGTAATCATTTTCACAAGGGCATTCTTTCTGGAGACGCTCTCACTGCCTTCCATTTAACTTCAACACCAGATCTCAAGTCCCTGTCGCCCGTCGATATTCTCACCAAATATGCACTCATTGATTTTGATCACGCAGTCTCCCAGTTCATCCAGTGTTCTTCCCTCTCCAGTGGCAAGAATACTCGCTGGGACCACAGACATGGACGCTTTTACGCATGGAACAAATTTCGATTGCAACTTCACTCTGCCTTCCAACCTCGAGTGATCATGCCAAGCAGAGTGATCCAATCATACCCTCCCAGCGACCTATTTCCCCTCGGGAACTGTGATACCGTCCTTGTCGATTTTACGAGTGATGATGGCCAAATTAGTACGTATATTTTTTGCTGTCATATTCTAACACTAACGAGGTGATATTCAGCAAGTCACGTCGCCCAAGTTCTAGTGGTGCCGAAGTCCGGTTCGGTTCGGTTCTTAGGCCTCTAAATGCGAACGCCGAACTGGACCATCGGTCGCGTTCAGGCAAGGAGGGCGAACGCTGGACCGGACCCTTATGAACGCGTTCACAAGCGTTCGGTTCAAGTTCAGAACGCGTTCGAACGCTCGAACGCTACATATAATTTGACAAAAATTGCAAGAAATACATGAACCGTAAATGAGTAGCTAAATTTCGTCCATGGCATAGTGTTCGTGAGCAGCAGCAAACTCAGCTTGAACCGTTGCAGAAATGTGGCCTTGACGGTACCCACTCTTCAATAACTGAAGGGCCTCGAATGTTGTTGGCAACAAACGATTACGGCGCGCAGTCCCAGTGATGCCGCCACTCGAAAAGGCTCGTTCAGATGCAACGGCAGAGCCTTGAATAGCGAGGTAATCCTTTGCAATGCGTGAGATGGTGGGATATTGAACGGAATGGTGCTAAAGGCATAATGAGTCAACTTGCAAGGAAATGCGATGCGAAAAAACTCACACCCCACCACGCCACTATATTCTCAACATCCTCTAATGGGGCAGCAAGGTAGTCGTCAAGCTCCTGGCGAGGTCTTCGATTTGCGGTGTCATTTGCGACACGAGTTTTGACAGCATCGCGCATCCAGCTATGGCCGTATGACCCATGGCGAGCAAGCGAGGCAGGAGCTGCAATAGACGGCTCTGCAGCAGCGGGCGAGGAGTTGTGATGATAATATTTGTCAAAAACCTTCCGCAAGCTTCTCATGCCCTCGTCGAAGTCGTGAGGCTCCCATTTACCCTTCGCATATGCCACCTTATAGTTAGGATCAAGCGCTACATTGTGCATTAGATAGGGCATCATAGTAAATAAAACACATACCGAGGCAAACAAAATAAACATCAGTTTCGTCAATCTTGTGGTACCATTTGCGAATATTGTCGAGGCCAGAGTTGATTGCGGATGAAAAGTCGTCAAACTTCGAAGAACTAGCCATGTTTTGCCAAGTTTGTTGGAGATACTCGAGGACTGGAATTGCGCGCCATACAGTAGGTTCACGAGTCGCCGAAAACGATTGTTGTGCATTGGCAGGTTCCTGGTTATACAGTAGGTTAATACAACATTTGAGACTCGACTGGACACTCGCACATACCTGAAGCACGTCGTGCATCAATTCCAACTTCTTCCATTCTTCGGCTGAAAGCTTGAATGCTCCATATGACTTGCCCTGCAAGTTTGGGACTTCGTCACTGTCATCCGCCAGTTGTATGAATCTATTCACCCCCTGCGGCAGATCAAATTGAGTTAGTATTGGGCATAGGGATAGAAACCAACTTACTTTGCGTAGCTTAAGGGTGCGCTCCAACATACCAAAGAGTGAGGCCCATCGCGTGCGAATCCATTTCAAAAGCTCAAGCTTCGGCTCATTGACCTCGACACAACACTGTTGAAAAAAAGTGCGTGCTTGGGGAGATTTCCGAATCTGCGTAACAAGTGCGAGGGCTTTTCCTGCGGTGTCGGCAACCTCGAAATCAGTCGTTTCATCATCGTCATCTTCATCGGCCATGTTCTTGAGGAGCACGCTTGCTGGTGTGGGTGCGACCTCCTCGACAAAGTGTTTCGCAGCTAAGTGCAAGGCGTGCTCCATACAGCTGAATAGTAGACATCAATATATATAAATCACGATATTAAATAGTTCACTTCTTACCAGAACATCGAGTAGATTACCAGGGAAGTCAGATCTCGCCAATGGAAATGTGTTGGGTGTTTTGGCTGCGAAGTCCGATCCGCTATTGATTGTCCCGAGATCGATCGACATGCCGGTTGCCAGAAGATCAGAGCAGATATATTGGTGGATCATGCAAAGAATATGAGAACACGTTCAGACGGGTTCGAACGGGTTCGAACGGGTTCACAGTATTCAGGCAGCAGCCGAACGCTGAACTTAATAATCAGTTCGGTCCTTATACTATTTCGAACCCAGGACCGAACCCACGGTCCGGTCCGGGAGGGTTCAGGTCCGAACCGAAGTTCAGAACCGGACTGCGGCATCACTACCAAGTTCGACTTATTTTTCAGCCCAAGGTTCCATGTGCTTCCAACCTGGTTCTTCCAATATATCTTTCCAGTCCACTCCTCTACATACAATATTTTGACTTCATCGCCAATCCCAACGACCGTCCCAAACTCGCGATGTGGACAGTAGAGCAGTCATATGTGGTGGACCAACATGGCAAACGCTATAGGCGTGGTGGTGCGGTGTTGTTGACGGATGTTACACATGCTGTCGAACTGATACCAGAATACGGTGAGAAGGTCAACAAGGACATTTCTGCGACGACGTGTTTGGAGTCCTATGACCGGTTTTTTTTGAATAACTTTGCAGATAAAGAAAGTTATCATACATTTAGTACAGAGTTCGCGTAGTATTGATCGTTAATACTATTAGTAGCGCAGATTTGAATGCATGTCAATCGATTGCTGTGATTCTGAACTTTCTGAATGGCCCAATGATTAATACAAATGACCCTACTCGGTGTTTGGAAATGCAATTCCGAACCCTAGACTAGTATTTCAACTCAATCTCAATATAATAACATATAATGCAATACATACACCCGTTTAAAAATTATAACACTATCAATATCGAGTATTTACGGTGTACAACGGAAAAGTTTGTTCCACCAATCGCGTTGCTCCGATCACCAGGCCGTAAGCTCACCGTAAGCATCAAACTTCTTTCTGACAAGCGAAATTTCAAGGTTTTTTGCTGATGAACGAATTCATAGTAATGTGCAGCTCTAGCCAAACTAGCTTGATACAGCAATGCTCCCGAGTCTCGACTGGCGGTGACTGCAAGATATCTCACACTAGTCATAGTTAGGATACCATAACGGACTTCCTGATGGGGATTGCATGAATGTCGCGCAATATTAGTGCTTGACAGGACTGGCATAGCATCTGCAAAACGACTGAAATGAACGCTTAACTTACGCGCGTTACGAACACTTACGAACACTTACAACTTCAGTAGCAAAGCCATGCGATTGGTGGAGATCTGACAACTCACTTAGTCGTGTCAAAATCACGAAATCGAGTCTTAGATTTAGTCTTAAATTATTTAGCAAATCTTATCTTTGCAAGATAGTCCAATCAATCAATCTAACATTGCGATGCACACCACAGGATGTCTAGACTCGAGGGAAACTACATGAAATCTGTGTGTAGCGTGTGGTACCATTCTTTGTCTGAAAAATTGTTAAGGTAGAAGGTATCATAGCTTTCCAAACATGTCGAGGAGTCAACAGCACGATTAGCTCTGTCCCCGTAAACAGGAATGAGCTCGATTGCATGGGTAACATCGAGCAGAGGAATGATCATGCCAACCCGCACTTGTGTGCCATCAGGATCGGTCACAAAATGGCGCTTAACGCGGAATATCATGACTCCAACATCATCTTGAGGATGTGCGACGACTTCGAAGAGCTGTACATAGAGGAATATTTGGTCAAGTTCAGCAGGGAACGGTGGGCCTTTCTTTGACAAGCCAAACACCATGCGAACTTGAGCTACAATGGCGTCTAGTGAAGAAATGCGTGAATACAAAGATACTGACCGTAACTTCAAAACTCACCAAGATTTTCACCTTCTTCACCTTCACTGTGCATCTGCAGCAGGACAGCATCGCAATTTCCACAAGGATAATTGGTAGATGGCGGATATGCTTGTACCTGCTGGCTCGGCATGACGAGACGCGGACGCAACGTCGAATGCAGCTGAATACGAAACTTGTTCCAGACGTTGAGCAGTCGGTTCTGGAAACGAGTTGCGAGCGTAGGGTTGACACTTTCAATGAAGGAGCAAAGCGTCAGAGGAAAGTCAGGAAGCTGGTATAATCGCGCCAAAAAAGGTGCTGTCTTGTTGGTGTGGTCACTGGATACAGTGATATGAAAGGCGACCCTGCTGTCTTCAGACAACAGGCCTTTGAGGAAATGGTTGCGAACGGGACGTGGGCCTTGAAACTGAGACAGTTCTTCGGGAGCGACGCGCATGATCCAACCCAACATCGGGTCCATGTCAACGACTTCATCGAATTTGTTGACGATGAGGTTGTTGAGGGACATGTTGTTTGAGCGGAGGAGGGCATAGAGGTCGAACTGGCGTGCAGTCTCTTCCCGGTCCAGGAGACGGACGACTTGCTGAGTGAACGTTGCACGTTGGTGGCTGGTGCGCTCAAATGGATTCTTGCACTGTGTGATGAGCATGCGCTCACTGACATCAGCAGTAAATTGTATAATGGAGCCAAGCTGGGGGATGGCTCGAGCAAATGATGCTAAGAGCTCAAGTTTTGGAATTTCAAAATGCTCAATAGGACCCGATGTTCCTCGGCAAGCCTCAGCACGGAGAATTGCGTGTTTGAATTCGTGAAACTCTTGGAGGGAGGAGGTCATGTCAGTGATCGATGTTGGAGTGAAAGTTGGAGCCTGTGCTTTGTAGATGAAATCGACCATCGCGCGAACAGCGCGGACAAAATCAGGATCGACGACACCTGCAATTGTAGGTATGATTGCGCGTTGGATGTCCCGATGTAGAGAATCATGCCTCTCATGGCGTGATATGGTAGTTTTCACCAAGGAGTATACAGCACGAACTCATAGCATTACTCTGTGCGCTACCCGCAGCTATCTCTATATGAGGCGCAGCTTTCCCACGCAACGCGCGCCATGCGCGCACCATTCCCGCGCTTCACGATGTATACGCGCGCGCGCGCGTTCCCGCGCTTGCGCGCCCTATAGCGCCAGCCATCCAGATGCATCCATCCACTGTCCACCAAGCTCCCTAGTATGTATATTTCCATTTCCTTTATTAGCATAGTTCCACCTTTATTTTTATCCTAGTTTCTCACTCATATATATTTTTACATACCTACTCGGTAGCGCTTCGGCTCCGCATGAGCGCGCTTAGGCGCGCTATATAAGCGCCAGCAGTACATACTACACGGGACCTACTTTTCCTACTTTTCACTTACTAGTTACTACCCACTTACTACTTAGCAGAATATAGTAGAAAGCTATTCCTTTACATTTTGCACTCTTATATCTCTTATCTTGCTTTATATCACTACTTAAGCTTAGTTTCTCATTTCCGCATACGCGCGCGCACTTTCCCGCGCTTCGCGCTAATACGCGCGCGCGTTCCCGCGCCTTTGTACCTTGCGCGCTCCTGCGCTTTCTCGTGCTTCGCTTAAGCGCACACTTCTAGATCCTTGCTGCACTCACTTCCCCTATAGGGTCGAACGCACTTGCTTCTCAAGTAACGCAGACTAGGCAGCGTGCGACCTTACAACTTTTACAGATACAGTCAGGAGCTTCTTTTGTTCCTCATTGTATTGTTGTTTCTACACCGATGTTCCCGACCGGTCATCTGCGAGACATGGGAGACACCTTGCCCAAAGTGACGGGTTCCGATGTGTTTATGTTGCGAACGAAAGCGAGTATCGAGTTCATCAGCCCCAACAACTTCCTTACACCACTTGAGGATGTGATCAAAGAAAAAATTTTATGGCATGTGTGGAGAAGTTCAGGTGCAAGGAAAATAACTGGATCAGCGAAGCGCCAGTCACGCCAGAAGGGAAGCTGCACCCCGCTGAGATGTGATGCTTTGGCTGCTTCTTGAAATTCCTGGACCTTCCAGGGATCGATACGCTGACCAAGTTCTTCAAGTGTCCTGAGTGTGCCCTGGCTGTCGCGAGGTTCATACAACTTTCTGTCCCCGAACTGTGACTGGATGGCTAGAGTGACTGGTGATGTATTCTTACTTACACATGAAACCATCTGTTGTTTGGGGAGGTCGGCAGTATATGCGACAAGGGGGGTAAATCCATAGCGTAAGAGACCCAATGGGTCCACCATACTTGCGCCTACAGCGGCTGCCTCCTTGAGATTCACGCAGACTATATCCATGCACCGATGCCACACACGGGCTTGCAAGAGTGAAGAGAACTTGGGGTTGCAAATGAACTGAGGAATGGGCATATACGCGATGCACGACCATGTGTGAGCCGTAGCCTTCATGCGAATGTCAGATCGGATGTTAGCGATAGTAAGGAACGTGGGATGCATCTCGAGACCTCCTGTGTGTCGAGTGACAGGAGTTTTGTCCGATGCAAGAACGATGGGCACAATGGTAGCACCTCGTGGAAGCTCGTCCTATGCATAAAAACTATCGTCAGAATTCATATTCAAACATAAAAAATAATACAAGCCTGGATATCATGCGCACGCGAACTCGACATCCATTCACCATATTCCCGTTCTCCGTCAACAAATATCTCATATGGATCGAATTCCATGTCATTGGCAAAAATCGGATTGCCAAATATGTGCTTCGTTACCTCCAAAGCATCACGCCAGATAAGATGCACAGGATGCGTTGTAACATAACCATCTGTCTCGATTGTTGTGCAGCGCCACTGCGGTCCCTTTGGCAGGGCGTCCATAAAGGTTAGCAGTTGGGGCGCAGTTTTGAATGTGGGCTGTTGCCGTGTTTCTGACTTCACCTAATAGCGAGCTGTTAAAATTTAAAAGTTAATGTAAAGTTCACTGACCCATAATAACTTCAAAAAGCAACTTATTTGCCCCTGATTCAGATTCTCGATGAGAAATTTGGCGAGTTCCCATTCCTCCCTCCCAGAAAATGGGTAGTACACATTATGTTTGCGAGCGGACTCATAGTCATGAGCCTTCATGCGCTCGAACATATTTGGCCGTTGAAACCCATAAATAGAGCCAGATTTCGTGTGATAGCGACCCATGCGTTCTTCACCTGGACCAGCAGGTTGGTGAAGTGCATGAGGGATGGGTACAGCATTGCATTGCGGATCATCTGTAAGGTGAGTGCAAAGTTCTTCCACCTTCACAAATGGCGTGGAACAGGTGGGACAAGGATACTGGCTAGTACCACTATATGATAGCCAGCTTGATCAGGACCATCGTGTAAGTTTGATATCAAAAATGTACTCTCCGGCCCTAAAAAACATCTTGTCAGAGGTAAAGCCCTCTTCTACATTGGATGCCATCGGAGCGTTCAACTTGAAGAACTTATTGATATTGCAGCCTTAAGAATCACCTTGACTGACCATCCACCGCCGTGTATTTGGAATTCTGTCAAGTCCTTCAAACTCCGAAACTCGCTGACAAGTCTGTTGACAGCACCGCAGCGAGAGGCTGAGTGAGAAAACATTCAGGTCAAATCCTCCAAGTCCATTGTTCATATCATGCTGGACACTTGTATTGCTACTATGCGCCCTACTAGCCCAACCAGCTCTGCAACTTTCGTCGAACATTCCTCTCCTGCTTATAGAGCAAGTCCCAAGGCTAAGTGTAAGTCTCGGTCTCTACACAGGTCTCGGTCTCCCCTGGGGAACTACTCCTTACACTCTCCCTGGGGGAACTACACCTTACGGTCTCCCAAGGGGAGCTGCTCCTCATTTAACTCTGCTTTGTTTGACTCTGAGTCAGAGGGACATGATATCCCTATTGCAAGTTTTGTGTCCCTTGTAAGTCTTTTCCACATTTTTGCTGGTACTGATTGTATTGAACTCGATTAAACAGGCCCCAGAGATTCTGGGCGACACAAACATGCCGCCTGAGGATCTCAAAGTGGCTGTTGCTGCTCAGTATGCCACTTGTGAGAAGCTTCACCACCTTATCATGACCAGGATCTGGCAGGTAGAAGAGGCGAGCAGGTGGACTAGTTTCTTGAACCAATCCATCAACAAGTTGAAGAAAGAACATGAAGCTGCAGAAGATGGGCTTCGACTCTGGATTGAAAACGCGCAGAAAGAGTGCACAGAGGTTTCTGAACCATCCTCCAGCGTTACTACAAACCTCCTCAAAGCAAAGGAGTCCCTCAAGTTTGTGCAAGGTAAATACAACGATATGGAAGGACTACTTATCGCACATGGGGTCACTGACACAGACTTGATCATGGCTAACGACGGTGGTGAAGACTCCGAAAGCGGTCGGGACTAGGCAATCAGTTAAGTTCATTTCTTATCTTGGTCAAAAATGTCACTGATTCGTTGATTACCGCTCTAGATCAACGGTGTACCAGTTTTATGTATTCAAGAGTTTTGTAGTAATGTTCGATGTAGCCTCGTGACTGATTTCTCTTCTTCTTGTCACTATCGATACTATCTTGTCACCATCGATATCATTCCGCACTATCACATCTTTTTGCCTATTCTGTCCTTACCCCGCGTGAAACTGCGTCAAACATACTGATCATCATGCCACGAGGTTCACAGCATGCAGATTTCGGTGCGTCTAATACATAAATGTCTGCATTCATGATTACTGATTGATCTTTCTATTGAATTGGCTGTGCCATGAGGCCGATAGAACCCTGGGGCCAATTAAATAACCCCGGCTGTTAAGCACCTGGACTCGAACGTACATTTTTCTTATACATTTTCCACCCACCCATCATCATGCCCCCAAAGGCCAGTGCAACTCGCAAGCACACGAAGATCACGAAAAAGTGTCCCTCGCGCAAGAATGCGAAGGTAAGTCTTACGGTACTACTACCTACGCATGCTACTAATATAATATTATTAGGCAATAAAAAAACCAGGGAAAAATTTGGGTTTAAACCCGTCTTTGAATTCAGATGCAAGCCAGATCGGTGTCCGTGTCGAACAACCTCAAGGTCTGGCATCATACCAGCAACTAATTTCGTTAATCGAATCCGAAGGCATGGACGAGGATGAGGACGATGAGGATGAGGACGATGAGATGGAGGAGGAAGATGATATGGAGGAAGTCGATATGGAGGAAGCCGATGAACATCTCGCACAACCAGGTCCGTCACACGACTACTACTCATCGTCCATGCAGCCAGCTCCACCGCCGGACTCCCGGCAGCTCCCTCGACAACATCTTGGGCAACCAGGCCCGTCGCATGACTACCACCCACCGTTCATGCAGCCAGCTCCACCGCCGGACCCCCGGCAGATCCCTCGACAACATCTTGGGCAACCAGGCCCGTCGCACGACTACCACCCACCATTCATGCAGCCAGCTCCACCGCCAGACCCCCGGCAGATCCCTCGACAACATCTTGGGCAACCAGGCCCGTCGCATGACTACCGCCCACCGTTCATGCAGCCAGCTCCACCTCCGGACCCCCGGCAGATCCCTCGGCAACATCTTGGGCAACCAGGCCCGTCGCACGACTACCGCCCACCATTCATGCAGCCAGCTCCACCTCCGGACCCCCGGCAGCTCCCTCGGCAACATCTTGGGCAACCAGGCCCGTCGCACGACTACCGCCCACCGTTCATGCAGCCAGCTCCACCACCGGACCCCCGGCAGATCCCTCGACAACATCTTGGGCAACCAGGCCCGTCGCACGACTACTGCCCACCGTTCATGCAGCCAGCTCCACCGCCGGACTCCCGGCAGCTCCAACAGCAACCAGCCCCTCATGCTCACACTTACGGGCTCCCACAGATGCCATTCGCACCACTGGAACTCGTGTCTCGTGAGGCACATCAATTTGATGTGCCCACACCGACAACCTTCAGGAATATCGGACACATGCAAGAGCCGCAGAGGGAGGAAGAACGGACACGTTATCTGGGACACTTACCCATCGACCTGCCCGGAATTCGGAAGGTATTCGTATATGATCCTCGCCGCCCACCCGAAGGCCACCGGGGACAACTGTTCCCAACCGGAGTTATCAGAGTGCGTCGCTCACTTGTATCATGATCGTGACTGACTCTCTTCTACAGGCTACAGGAGACATCACTGTTACTGCACCACTCCCGTCTCGCAGAGAGCTGCCTCCGGTGTCTACTCCTCCCTCGCCTATCACTAATTTGCCTGTGGCTGGCTCCAGGCCTGTGGCCAACAGTCCTGCACGCTCCCATCCCTATGCTCCCCAACGTCCGACTAATGAGCAGTTCAAGAAATTGATGGAAGCCGTGAAGTCTAATATGCACCGCAAGGTGTTACTAGAGAACGCTATGCCCAAAACGGGCGTCAACACGGCGATGGCGGAGGCAGCGCTGTCGGCAGCTCGCCAGGACTTCATGCCTGACGCGGAGGTTCCCAACTACGAAACCTGTCTTAAGAGCCTCCGAACCCTCACAACGACCATATGAACGGCCTTCAAAACGAGGGCGCGCCGCGAAGTCCCAGTCCATTATGATCTTAACCGTCCGTTGGACGCAAATGCGGAGATCGCGCACAGGAAACAACGTGTACCGATACTTGTTGAGAATCATGCATACTTGTTTTTGGTGAGTTTTCTTTTTGTATTCTTCTTCTAATGACTTATCCTTTTTTTTCTCTAGCACGAAATGAATGATCCGGACTCGCTGGCCCCAGTCAATCATCCTGGCGTACACGCCGTCATCGTTGCAGCTGTGTGGGAAACCGGCTTCCACACAGAGCTTGACATAGACGACGTGGACACTCTCGACAATCTGATTTCACTCGGCGGCGCTGCAACACATTCAGTCCTCATGGAGCATCTCAACGGGAGACGTCAGACGGTGGAGTTTTCAGCATCTTCGTCATCTGGAGCAGAGTATCGTTTCATTCAGCAACACAATCTCACCATTCGTAACGTTCCTGCAGTATATCACGCTTCCATTTCTTTAAAGAAAGATTTAGTTGAACGAGGTATATCTACTATCAGTACGGCTAGTATGTCTGATGATCTGTAGATATGTAGATAAGATTTGATTCCTTTGTGATAATCTTGCACTTTCATAAGATTCACTCAATATATATTGTTTTGGAAATATTTGGGTTGCTCGCTCGCGCAGAAACTTAAAAGACGCTAAGCGGTCGCCTAAAATCAAACACCGCTCATCGAGCACTCATCGAGCGCATCCGACTTTTAGATGCCTATGACCTCGTTTGGTAAAGTCTATCGTACGAGGTGAGCAAGTATTAAAGGAATATTCACAATATTGAGAATAACCATTAACTTACATGATTGACTGTCTCCAGAGAAGGGTCGCCATTATCGGCGCCGGGTAAGTGTCGCTTTTGATTTGATTCTACGACAACTGAATATTTGCTTCGAAGTGTTGGCGGGTTGTCCCAAGCTATTGCCCTCAAAACTAAGCTCGGATTTCACGATTTTACGGTGGGTGCATCCATCAAACAAGTGGTATGATCGCTGAGTATTTTAATAGATATTTGAGAAAGCGTCTGAAGTTGGTGGGGCGTGGAGGGTACGTTGTTGTGATGCGCGACATGTTCTCCTGACAATTTTTTGCACAGGCCAACACATATCCTGTAGGGTCAACGACTGAAACTGCAGAATATCGCTCACCTCAAGACTTCTTCTAGGGATGCTCGTCGGATGTCCAAATTCATTGGTACAGCTTATCATCAGACCTTTACCCATACTGGAACAAGTCGCATGGCCTTCAACCGGAGATTCAAGCCTACTGGATCGACCTCTCGAAGAAATACAATCTATATCCACACATCGCGTTCAACACAAAAGTGCCTATCTGCTGAGTGGGACGATGCCAAACAACAATACATCATCGTCGCAGAAGACGTCCTTTCAGGCAAGAGAATATCGAGCGTGGCCCATGTCGTGATATCTGCCGTTGGTATCTTGGATGCCCCAAGGATTCCATACGAGATCCCTGGAGTTCGGAAGTTTCAAGGGGTTTCGTTTCATTCCGCACAGTGGCCAGGCTCGATAGATCTGCGGAATAAGCGCGTTGCAGTGATTGGAAATGCATCTTCCGGGTGAGTCACGACGACTTCTGCACAGGTAATCGGTGATGACATGACATACAATAAGAGCACAGTTCGTGCCATCTGTATCTGAAGACCCGTCTGTCGAAGTAGTTAACTTCATCCGCACCCCGACCTGGTTCACCACTCGAGTGAGATTATGTGTACCATGTTCGATGATTTAACAACTAAACTAAACATCTAAGCCACATATTCCGTACTCGGACACCGAGAAATGGATATTTGCCAACATCCCTCTGGCAATGCGACTGCACCGAGCTTGGATCGTGTTCTGGGTCAGACCAAACGTTGCAGAGTTTTGGCTTGCTGACACTAGTTGTAGTTCGAATTACATTTAATCATACGCCCAAGTGACAGAACTCTCAAGAAACGACGCGAGGTGAGCAGGCTGCCAAAGTCCCGTGGCATTCGTTCTAACGCTTTCTGCTAGGCGATGACGAAATACATCCTCAATAAGGCACCGAGTAGATACCATGATCGTATGATACCCGATTATCGTACGTGTTTGATCAAGGAACTTTTTTTGTGCTCACGTCCTCCATAGTTCCAGGCTGCAAGCGGACCGGTTCGTCGGCGATGGTTGAACTTAGACTGTGTTCTTTCTCATTTCATTCCATGCAGTCGCAAACAGCGGTTTCCTGGATGTTCTCCATCGGCCTAATTTGACACTGAACTTCGACGGAATTGACAACATAGCGGAGAATGGCATCATCACAAAAACTGGTATGCATGGGCGGTCAACGACGTCATCACCCTCCTCACATTAGTTCAGGTGAAATGTTACCATTTGATGTCATCGTATACGCGACCGGGTTCATCAGCGTAAGTGCCATTTACACAGACCTAATAATCTATCAGATACCAACTGCAGAAACAGGACCGATACCCAATGCACGTTCGAGGCTCGAACGAAGCTACTATCCAAGGGTATTATGATGCTCATGGTGGCCCTACCGCATACCTCGGAACTGCAGTTCCTGACATACCAAACTTCTACTTGCTAGCTGGTGAGTTCACGAGGGACATGTTATCATCAATTTGTTGTCTGACGTATTGACTACAGGACCAAATACTGGAATACCAGCATCAACATTGTTCATGGAAGAAGTCCAAGTAAATCCAGTGAAATCCAGTGAACTTTTTGTGTGTTTTTACTCAAGTTTGTTACAAGGTTGGATATATCCATCAACTCATAGAGCCGGTCCTCAGCGGTTCCGCTTCATCTTTCACCGTCGAAGCTTCACACACAGATGAATATAATGCTAAGGTTCAAGAACGTATATCCCGCTCTGTGTTCATGCAATGCCATTCCTGGGCGCGTATGAATGGTACGGGAAAGGTATACAATCCGTTCCCTTGGGCTATGACGCGTTGGTGGTTGTTGCTTCGCAAACCAAATTGGGATCACTATGTGGCAGTCGGCGCTGAGAAATGGGTACGGGCAAGGCGAAGAAAGTTCGTCAAGAATAGTCTGAAATGCGCTGCAATCTTGACGTTATTGTGCTCATATATCGGCAGCTCTGTTTAGACGACATGGTGGTGAGTCTATTGTTCTTGATGCCTATCATTCGAACAATTGATATCTTTAGGCAGCGACTATCTGTGGCTTGCGACTACTTAAGTAAGTTTAGCCTGCATTTTTAAGCGTCATGCATGTATGTACGAAACAGATCATAATTATACAAAGTAGCAACTAGACAGCTTGCATACTTTTCCCTCATGAGCAAGATTGACAATCGGAAATGATGTGACGACAACCTGTCAGACCTTTTTTTCAGTATGTTCGTCGACCATCATGAGGATGGTCCATTGTTCAATAGCTACAACCTTTGTGGATCTGCAGTAGTCGTCTTCAATGCATAGTCACACTGCAGGTACCGTGAGACTCGCATCCTGCTCGAGAGCTCTCACCTCTTGAAAATGTCCCGAACATCTGCTGGAGTGCGATAGCAAGTGTTGTCATTTCAAGGATTGCCCATCAACGGCTGAAGTATCTCGCAGTACAAATTGATACATTCGGTTGAAGCAAAATTATATCTATATAGCTTACAGCCTTAGCTACAATATCAATTAAGGACTCATGAATTCACTGATGTCTATTGTAGTAACGAGCCGTTGGCCAAACCAGTCGTTTGCACATACACATTTAATACGACTACTGCAGGTCCACAAAGGATATAGCTATCATACTAGCTATATACAATGGACTGTACTAAGTGATTGGCGAACATGCTGAAGGTCTAACAGGTTGTATCTTGCTCATGAGGAAAAAGGATGCAAATTCTACTTTGTATAATCATAGTCTGTCTCTCGTATATATATATAGCGCTCGATCGCTCAAAGACGCAGGCTAAACTTGCTCAAGTAGTCGCAAGCCACAGATAGTCGCTCCCTAAATATATCGATTGTTCAATTGATGGACGTCGAGAACAATGATGGACTCACCACCATGTCGTCTGAACAGAGCCGCTGATATATGGCCACAATAGCGTCAAGACTGCAGTGCATTTCAGACTATTCTTCACAGCCTTTCTTCGCCTTGCCCATACCCATTTCTCAGCGCCGACTGCCACATAATGATCCCAATTTGGTTTACGAAGCCACCACCACCAAAGCGTTACAGCCCAAGGGAACACATTAAATACCTTTCCTGTGCCGTTCGTACGCGCCCAGGAGTAGCATTGCACGAACACAGAACGGGATAGACGTCCTTGAACCTTGGCATTATATGCATCTGTGGGTGAAGCTTTGACAGTGAAAGATGAAACAGAACCGCTGAGGACCGGCTCTATGAGTTGAAATATATATCCAATCTTGTGACAAACTTCAGTAGAAACACACAAAAGGTACGCTGAATTTACTTGAACTTCTTCCACGAATAACGATGATGTTGGTGTGACGGTGTTTGGTCCTGGATTTAATATATCAGGAGAAATTTGATGATAACATGTCCCTTGTGAGCTCACCGGCTAGCAAGTAAAAGTTTGGTATGTCAGGGACTGAAGTCCCGAGATATGCGGTAGGGCCACCATGAGCATCATAATACCCTTGGATAGTAGCTTCGTTCGAGCCTCGAACGTGCATTGGGTATCGGTCCTGTTTCTGCGATTGGTATCTGATGGAATATTAAGCTTGTGTAAATAACACTTACGCCGATAAACCCAGTCGCGTATACGATGACATCGAATGGCAACATTTCACCTGAACTAATGTGAGGAGGGTGATGACGTCGATGATGGCCCATGCATACCAGTTTTTGTGATGATGCCATTCTCCGCTATGTTGTCAATTCCGTCGAAGTTCAGTGTCAAATTAGGCCGATGGAGAACATCCAGGAAACCGTTGTTTGCGACTGCATGGAATGAAATGAGAAAGAACATATTCTAAGTTCAACCATCGCCGACGAACCGGTCCGCTTGCAGCCTGGAGCTGTGGAGCATGTGAGCACAAAAAAAGTTCCTTTATCAGGCACGTACGATAATCGGGTATCATACGATCATGGTATCTACTCGGTGCCTTATCGAGGATGTATTTCGTCATCGCCTAGCAGGAAATGTCAGAACGAATGCCCCGAGACTTTCAGAGTCTGCTCACCTCGCGTCGTTTCTTGAGAGTTTTGTCACTCAGGCGTACGAGAGAGGGAAAATCAAACTACAACTAATATCAGCAAGCTAAAACCCTGCACCGTTTGGTCTGACCCAGAACATGATCCAAGCTCGGTGCAGTCGCATTGCCAGAGGGATGTTGGCAAATATCCATTTCTCGGTGTCCGAGTACGGAATATGTGGCTTAGATGTTTAGTTTAGTTGTTGAAATCATCGAACATGGTACAAACAATCTCACTCGATTGTTGAACCAGGTCGGGGTGCGGATGAAGTTAACTACTTCGACAGACGGGTCTTCAGATACAGATGGCACGAACTGTGCTCTTGTTGTATGTCATGTCACCACCGATTACCTGTGCAGAAGTCGTCGTGACTCACCCGGAGGATGCATTTCCAATCACTGCAACGCGCTTATCCCGCAGATCTATCGAGCCTGGCCACTGTGCGGAATGAAACGAAATCCCTTGAAACTTCCGAATTCCAGGGATCTCGTATGGAATCCTTGGGGCCTCCAAGTTACCAACGGCAGATATCACGACATGGGCCACGCTCGATATTCTCTTGCCTGAAAGGACGTCTTCTGCGACGATGATGTATTGTTGTTTGGCATCATCCCACTCGGCAGATAGCACTTTTGTGTTGAACGCGATGTGTGGATATAGATTATATTTCTTCGAGAGGTCGATCCAGTAGGCTTGAATCTCCGGTTGAAGGCCATGCGACTTGTTCCAGTATGGGTAAAGGTCTGATGATAAGCTGTACCAATGAATTTGGACATCCGACGAGCATCCCTAGAAGAAGTCTTGAGGTGAGCGATATTCTGCAGTTTCAGTCGTTGACCCTACAGGATATGTGTTGGCCTGTGCAAAAAATTGTCAGGAGAACATGTCGCGCATCACAACAACGTACCCTCCACACCCCACCAACTTCAGACCCTTTCTCGTATATCTATCGAAATACTCAGCGATCATACTGCTTGTTTGATGGATGCACCCACTGTAAAATCATGAAATCCGAGCTTAGTTTTGAGAGCAATAGCTTGGGACAACCCGCCAACACTTCGAACGGATATTCAGTTGGCGTAGAATCAAATGAAAAGCGATACTCACCCTGCGCCGATAATGGCGACTCTTCTCTGGAGGTCAATCATGTAAGAAATGGGTGTTCTCAAGACTGTGAGCATTCCTTTAATACTTGCTCACCTAGCATGACAGACTTTATCGAACGAGGTCATATGGTCATGTCAAGCTCTATCGCGCGACATTGATCCAATCCCCGGGCCAGAAAGCCCGTATCCTAAATACGACTGTGAGATATCTCGTAGTCGCCGCCAGTCGAGATTCGGCAACATCAAGTTGGCTTGGCAATTGACGGGTAATTGCAAAACGGAGTATCTATCCCAAGTCTGTCCTGACTTGGATGCATCTTAGCGCCACATTTACTAAAAGCAGCACTTGAGCGCTCGGCTTCGGCTTCGTCGGGGGGGAATATGGCAGGACAGGTAATTCTCATGGGTCACAAGTGCATGAGATGTTGTTGCGGTTGTTCCTATTTTTGTAGATAGTTTGTCATTTATACCACTTGACCTGGGTTGAGAGCGCGCGGATCCCTTGCTGTGACCAGTTTTCCTAATTTTGGTGTCAGACTCTTACCCACCTCCTGGTTGCGGGATACCGTGACTGGGATTGCAATGACGAAGTCGAATGCAACGGGAACTGGCGGGGGCGGGCTCAATTTTCAAAATCTGAAGCGGAAGGGTTCCGCTAAATCGGGACGAACAAAACACAGCGATTATTATGCTGGCCCTAGCAGCTTACATGGAAGCAAAGCATTGCTCGCGTTGGAGTATGGTGAAAATGCCGCTGACGTGCTGGCGCAGTTGGACGATGACTGTGCATATTTGGTTAGCATTTTATGCCTCCACAACAAACACTGTCGACTTACTTTACTTATTTCCCGCAACACCATACAGCCATAGTTTTTTTTACTGCCAGGTTTCATCCTGTATGGGATGGAAGTGGTATATATGACACAGTGGCATCAGTCAAAAGTGCAGTGTCCAGGGCATCATGAAGTCAAAATTGTCAAATGCGAATATCATCAATAACGCTCGCTACAAATCACTTGTCGAAGTCAATCATCCGGCGGCTCACAGGATTTCTGACATTCACTGTTTCATCGACAGCGTCATCTGTATCATCATCATCTTCATCATCACTCTCGGAGGCTCCTCTGGCATGCTTCAACCCAAATATGCTCACTACTCGATTGATATGTGCTTTGGATTGCTTGAACGTCGGCGGTGCGCAAAAAGAATGAACGCATGCGGAGAACTCCAGGACCAGTTCACTGGTAGTGAAGAGGTCGAATAAAGATCTCCTTCAAGCTGGTAAACGGTACCATATACTTATATTGCGCTGAAATGTAGACTCGTGACCAGTCTGACTATGCGTCAATTTGAGATGGTGAGAATTTATTGACGTAGCCAACTTGTGCAACCGTGGTAGTATTAGGCCAGGCTGGTCACGAGCCTAGCTGAAATGGTGTACAGAGCAAAATTTTATGTAAAACATAATAATACGTGTGACGATCGGCGTTAGCCGCAGACGATGCTTCCTACCCCCACTGGGGAGAGGTGGGTTTGTTGCATCCGTCATGCATCACGATTGTCTCCAGCAAAGGTTTCCAAGACTCATCGAACTTTTGTATTTTGGTCTTCAGAAGCTTCGAGTTGCAAATTGTTTTGCCAAAGAAAGAAGCTTGAACCCCCCGGGGCAGTGAGCACCTCTTTCTGGGATGCTGACCCTTAGAAAGGCTCAGTGAGCCTATGGCTCGGCGGACCCGGGGCTTTGCGGTGACCTTCTGATCGAGCGATGTTAAAGCGTTCGCTACTAGGTGGCTATCTGGCCCAAGAGTTGACATTAAGTAATTCCTTATCAACTCAGCATGTCGGCCCTATTATGTCGCCTCGTTCGGTAGCTCTTATTAATTGCAACGCGGCGCACGCTGTTCTTGTCCTATATCAAGGCGATTCGCTTGGTCTATCTTCGCACTCACGAGCATCTCGCTGGAGCCCTGACTCGCCTGGATGGTCACTTCTTCTCCTCGTATAGCAAACGGCGAGACCATCGTGATGCCTCTTGTTCATGCAACAGTTCCGAGAAAGCCTAAAACTCCTCTTCCACGACTCCAGACAGGCTTACTTCTGATGTTGGAAATTGCGGAAACTACAGCTTCAACGTCCATATACCCGTATATCAATCAGGTATGAACTTTTACAATGGGATGTCATTTTGCTGCAACACCCGTGGTCAATACTGTGACTAAAGCTGTTTCCAGCTTATTAGAGAAATTGGCATCACTAGAGGTGACGATGCGGCTGTAGGATACTATGTCGGATTAATTGTAGGTGGCAATATTATGACTTGCAAAAATTATCATTCCCTCATAGTATCATCGGACATGAATTTCAGGATTCTCTGTTCTACCTCGCCCAGGCACCGACAGTATTGGGCTGGAGTCGGTTGTCCGACCACATTGGGCGCAAGCCAGTGTTATTAATCGGGCTAACAGGAGCTTGCATTTCAATGATATGTTTCGGCTTTTCGACAACCTTCTGGAGCCTAGTCATGAGGTTTGCTTCAGTTGAAGGAGATATTGCAATGCTGATGTGATCTCCCCAGTCGCTGCATGTGGGGAGTATTGAATGGCAACATTGGAGTTATGAAGATTGTGATGGGTGAATTGACGGACTCTACGAACATGGCTAAGGGATTTGCCTTGATTCCGATGGCGTGGTTAACTGGAGGTTTCGCTGGGTAAGTGGAATCACTTGACTATTGCTATGGATGCTGATGAATTGGTACGCCAGCCCTTTGATGGGGGGAATGCTGGCGCGGCCACAGGATCACTGGCCTAAATTATTTATCAATCCATTTTGGGGAAAATACCCGTACTTTCTTGCTTGTGTATTATCTGCTTCTCCGCTCCTCTTGGCCTTTTTCATACTGCTATACTTCTTCCAGGAAGTAAGTCCTAAATAATGCCTTCCTCAACGCCACGTTATTCACGTTTATTAGACATTATTAAGCAAACGTCGACCAAGGTCGACAATAGCCACGCCCAGCGTTTCTCGCGGTATCAATGATCAGGAAGCGTTTGTGCAACAATCTACGACAGATACGCTCTTGTGGTCTCTGCTCACACCTACCATTGTTATTCCGATCGCAAGCTACGCTATGTTGTCCTTTCTTGACACGTCTTTCAGGGCTCTCATGCCGCTGTTCCTTTTCACGCCCACCCACCTTGGCGGCATGGGTCTTACTCCTTCTTCCATTGGTTTGTGGCTGGCGTTCTCTGGGATCGTAGATGGACTCTTTCAGGCATTGTTCTTGGCTAAAATTGTTGATTGGGTTGGTCCCAAGTATCTATTCTGTGTATCAGTGTCGTGCTTCACACCGCTTATGGTCGCGTTTCCGATAATGTCGTGGTTGCTACACACAAGGGGGATGGTTGATCATGCAATTATGTATGCCTTGCTTGGCCAGCTGATTCTGACAGTGACATGGGATATGGCATTTGGTGCGTGTTACAATGAAACTTGTTGTGCCATCATAGGTAACCAGCTTAGATACAGCTACTGTTTTGATGTTTGTCACAGCTTCTGCCCCTGCGAAGAATGTTCTTGGCGTTGTCAATGGTCTCTCCCAAACCTCTGCATCGATAGCTCGTGCCCTTGGGCCTGCCTTAACCACATCGCTCTTCGCATTCTCAAAGAAACACAATATTCTCAATGGAAATGCAGTATATGTTGTCTTGATCATACTGTCCGGTGTCCTAAGATGGCTGGGTTCGCAGCTGCCAGATGAAGTACAAGACAGAGATGAGTGAAAGGTCAGCACTTGAGATTTTTTACCTGAAATGCATGAATAGCGAATACCCAGACACTTCAAAAGACCTGTGGGTTCCCGTACAGGATTACGGACATAGTAAATGTACCATTCGAGTTTCTGCCGCCGAGCCCGTTGATTGATGTACTTAATACATGTATACTACTTGGTACTCTTGCCCATTCTAAAAGCATGGATCAGCTTAGATCCTCTACCTCGAGATCAATTGTGACCCAACGGATGGTTGCACCGCCACCAAACCGGACTTTGCCGCGTCTCCCGAAAGTGGCTCGTCCGAGTTCGCCTCTCAATAGATTTCGACAATGTCTCTGCTCCGTTCTTATAAGCAGGCAATACCGAGACGGCTACTGCCTGCGTGTCCAACTTACACCCGCCATTTCTCTGCGGAAAGTCAAAGCCAGCCAGTTCACACTGGTGATGCCCTCCAGAAAGAGACCACCCAAATCACGGAGGTTGCTCATACTGATGTATTGACGGCTGAAGTTATAAGTGGCGCTCCAGGTGTGTTTCAACCAACTGACACTGAAAATGCCATGTTAAATGACCGTCAATCCAGCGGAGCTCCGGCATCGCATGGTACGGATCTATCAACCAGCCCGCAACACCATGCAAAGCGGAGCAGGAAAGTCAGAGCGGTGGCGCATTGACTGGGATGTTCTACAGGGAGCAGGCCGGTGGGAGAATCCCCTGATGGGTTGGGCTAGTTCGTGAGTGGTTGCTCCCTTTCAACTGGGAAACGGCGTTTATCACTGTCTGTACAGCGCGGATTACATGCAGGGCACCAAGGTGTCATTCAGAAGCAAGGAAGATGCAATGCACTTCGCAGAGAAACAAGGTACGTTTGATCTTCGCTTCAGAGTCCATTGCCCTTATTGTCTTTTCTTCAGGTTGGAATTACTATGTGTGAGTACCTTCCTCGCTTTTGACATGAACTGGACACTAATGAGCTGCCGCAGACAACCACCTCCCACCAAGAAAATCCCTCCGAAGAACTATTCAGAGAACTTTGTCTATAAGCCCAACACGCTACGGATAATGCGCACGAAGTAAACCATTCTGTTCGTAGAACTAACTACTGCATCTGGTCCATAAGTTTTGCAATCGTTGGAACTTAATTTGCACCCGTGTTGCTCATTCTGGATAAGATATAACGTACTAAGCACTGCTTGAAGCGCTTGCAAACTTAAACTTTTGAATAACTTGAATAAGTGTAAGTCACAACAACGCCGCATGGATTAATGCAACGTCGGAGCATGATGCATGATGCCACGATGCCGGCCAACTAGTGCATGGCGGCCTGAAGCCACACGGATAGAGTTCTTGACTTCGGATAGTTGCATAGACGTCATTCGAAGAGCACAATTATTTTCGTCTCCATTTCTGTGGAGTACCACCTATACTAAGTATCGTCTTCGTCTGGACCAAGCTGACGTATTTTACACTGACTGAATATTGTCACCATCATGGCCGACATTCAGACCAGGCTCTTTTCAAAGGATTATAGGTTAAGTCTGTTTCCTCAGAGTCTTCAGTGCATGTGAAGTTAACATTTGCTACTGTCTCAGTGGCCTTGTTAATCAGTCGGTCATTACCATTGTAGTGGCCGTGATGTCTGTGATGTCGCACGAGATCCTAAAGAGAAGGAGACGCGGACTTCACATCCAGCCTGAGGGGCTTGGAAGCGTCGAGTCTTGGGAGTTTGGCTAGTGAGCACACTCATCGTTTCCTCATTGTCTTCTAATTGGTGTTCGAACTTCTAGCCTGTATCAAGGTCGTTCGTGGGCACGGTTTGTCGCTCGTAACTCCTGTTCTTCCTCATTCTGATAGCGGTAGCAGGAATCCTTCCCCGCCGACGCCGAAAGGCTGGCCATTATCTTGGGTCAAGGACAGCATCACTCTCCCCCAGGCGAAGCTTAATGAACTTAGAGGAGTCGATGCAACGTTGTATGTGCGTTTCCTGCGCGGGAGCCGTGAGTACTTGCAACATGCACTTGATTCGTATCCGCTGACTTTGCTGTCGTCCATAAGTATTATTTGTCCTCGTCCATACGTTTACGACCACTCTTATCCTTCTTCCGATACATATCCACTTTTCCCCGGATGACGTTTCACCGCAGTCAATGACAAGAGCATCAATTTCTTCACTCGTAGAGAATCAGCAAGGCCGCTCCCTACTCTGGATTCACATTTGCCTCCTCTTTTGGATCACGCTTACCTGGATGTGCAACCTCTTTTACATTTGCAATGGAGCATTCAGATTACGAGCAGCTAAAATAGAAAGTGCCATTCGCAGTGCAGAGTCCGATACCATGACCGAGAAGGAACCACAATATCATCCCCATCCTCACCCACAATACCCCTTCCAGGATATTCCATCCCTTGACACCGACCAGTCCAACCGTGGTTTACGTCTGCGTACCGTGATGGTGACCAACGTGCCGGTACAGCTTCGCTCAGAAAAGGCGCTCAAGGAGTACTTTGAGTATTACCTGTCGCGATCTCTCGACAAGCCTTCCCTTGGCTTATCAGCATCAACCCAACCCGGTTTATTCAACAAATTGTTCGCTTTTGGGTTCAATCGAGCAAAGCGCATTCCGCAGAATATAGGTATGTCTACAGGCGAAACTGCCAATGAGAGTCAGGAGGGAAGCGGCGGTGCTCCACTTGGACAAATTCCTAGTCCAAACCTGGGAAATGTGCCACCCATCGACAGAGTTGTCATTGCACGACGAATGACGGAACTGGCATCATTGCTGGAACGGCGCGAGGAGATCCTCCGTCGTTTAGAGGGCGCGCACATCAGATTGGCAAAGAAGGCACTCTTAGCGGTGCACGGCGTAGAACATATACCCAGCTCAAGAGAGGATACCACCATACCCAGGCCTGCTAGGACTCCAGATGTGGAAAGCGGATGTAGTCAAGCCCACAACAGACAACAGAACAGTGATACAGACTTACTCGTTCAGACACTCTCACCGTTTCTGGTTGATTACCGGTTAACCAGCGACTCTGCGCCCTCAAAGCACAAACTCTTTTTGAAAACGAAGGGTGCGTTTCACAGAAATCAGCGGCTACCACGAACTGACAGTGGCAAAGTGGATCCGGAGACAGATAACGTCGATCCACACAAGACGATATGGGATGCACTTCTCAGTTTACCACGAAACATACTGGACCCATACCAGCCGTTGATCCACCTTTCTGTCTTTTTCCGTGGGAAGACCGTGCCGAGCATTGATTATTACACTGCCAAACTCCACCTCCTTACATCGTTGATAACGAAGAACCGGACGCAGGCCGCTACGGAATACGACGCTGTATCAACAGCGTTTGTAACCTTCAAAGATCCAGCAGATGCAAGGAAGGCGTGCAACTACTTAGCAGTACATCCTAATAACCCACTTGCATGTCTTGTGACGATGGCCCCGCAGTATGAAGACATTGATTGGACAAGGGTTATGAGGTCAACTTACCAAGTGGATATTCTCAAAGATTGGGCAGTAAACATTGGGGTCTGGTGAGTGCTGGTCCGCTGTTGTACGACCACGAAGGGTAGTTGACTATGTCTCAGGGGATTCACGATATTCTGGGTTTTTCCGGTGTCATTGTTTGTTGGTCTTGTTTCCATTCAAAGCATTTCGACGCTCTGGCCAAGTTTAGTATGTGTAATTCTTCTTCAGCAATTTTTTGCGCTGAACATCCATGTAGTACAATTATCTATCCAGTCACCCTTGGGAGGAAGAGGTCATTCAATCATTCCTTCCAACTGTCCTTATCTCACTCCTCACGATCCTCATTCCGCCCATTCTTCTACTCATTGCGAAGAAGGCCCATACGATCATCACTCTTTCCGTAATGCACGACACGATTATGACCCGTTACTATAAATTTTTAATTGTCAATGTCTTGGTGTTTTTCTGTGTTGGAACCGCTGCACTCCAGTCTTTCCTTTCGTTCAAGACCGTATCCGAGAGTGGGATAATAAATACTGTCGCTGATAGTTTCCCGACAGCCGGACCTTTCTATGTTGGATGGTGTAAGTACAGTTCTCTCGATGTCTTGCAGTGAATTCATGGGTTCTACTTGCTTGCAGTGATCTTCACCACTGCAATTCATGGAGGCTTAGAGCTTGCGTTGTGTAAGCATCCATAACTTATGGTATTGCGTCCCATTCTGACGTTGTGCTTTGCAGTTGGTGTGAGTTTCTGTGAAGTCATAGTCAAGATCGTCATGATATTGACATCCCTCGCTGTAGTTGCCTTTGTTCGTTTATCCCTCCACCAAGCGACATGTAACTCCGAGGAAAAGAGCTGTTGGAATTCGCCCACGAACATTCAATTTCTATTGTGAGTTCCATCATTATGTGCAGTGAAGTTTCTTACAGCGCTTCTGAATGCAGACTGGCTACCAAACCACCTCCTGGTCATTCATGTGTTACTCCTCTTCGCTCTACTTAACCCACTTGTCATACCCTTCGGGTTGCTGTATTTCTCAGTTGAGACTGGTTTGTTGTTTATACGATCTATGATAGAATCTATGCTGATTAAAACGTTTTCCAGCTGTTGTAAAAAATCAGGTATGTTACATCGTACCCTTCGTGAAGCCAGATCTGACTCAAATGGGCAGTTGCTACATGTTTATGCGAAGAACTACGAATGTAATGGTCAGATGCTGTTGATCCGTATCCTTCGTTATTCATTGGATGGTATGATACACTCATGTCTGCATATCTGAATCCCGTTGATATCTCTCCATTCATAGGATTGATGCTATCTCAAGTTCGTTCTAATCTCTGCCACTCGCTGTACGATCAACTAACTCTTGGCTTAGTTCGTATTCCTGGCGTACATGGCTGTGTTGCGGATAACTGTCAATGTAGCACTATCGGCTTTCTTGTTCGTCTTCACCGCGATCGTCAAGGTGATGTGCGTGTGTTTATATCTTTCTATCAACCTCTGCTCTGATAATTTACGGTTAGTTTGACGCGAATGTGCCGCGCCAGATTCGAGCAATATGATGCTGAGGAGGCGCAGGTGGTCTGCAGGATGGGCACGGGAGAATCTGAAAACAGCCCTGAAAGCCAGATTATCTCATCAAACCACCCCGGTAGTGCTGAGGACGTAGCAGTCAACGCTGAGGCTCACCCTTCGAGATTCCAGGCGTGGCGCTTACCGGCCTGGGTGAATTTCTCTTATTCGACCGTTCCTCGAAGACCTCGACTGCTTGAGCATCGTAAACCGAATCCGTTCGGCCCTCACGCCAGTTCGTTCTCGCAGCTACATTCAGTTGATGAAAACGAAAAAATACCATCGACCCCGACCCAAGGAGAACCATCTACTGCCATTCTGGATAGGACGGTTGAATCCCCACTTTCTGAACGGCAACGTCAGCCTCTAGCACGCATCTCGACTTCTCTCGTACAACGACATCCACCTCTTGCAACGTGGGATGATGAACCCCGTCACGACATCCCTTATGATAACCCTTACTACACACGACCTATCACTAATGCCCTCTGGCTCCCAAGAAATCCGCTAGGTCTTCTGGACCTTGATGACACTGTTGATGTTTACCAAGCTTTAACAAGCGAGCCCGGCACTGGCGATTTGAGTCACTCGTTGGATCCCGACTCTTCCGCTTCCCCCGCATTTCAACTCCCCAGTTCAGTGCCCGGCGACGAACCTAGGCAATACAGCGGTAGTGAAGAAATCAATCTTCCTGAAGGCATTCAGTCCCGCATCGTCACCATTGATCAAGAGGTTGATGTGGAGTCCACAAGACCACGCCGTCCATCCTTGTTCTCTCGACATCGCTCGGGTAGCAATGTCAGCATGAAAAGTGGTGACCGCGGTCTTCCAGGTCGATCGCAGACCATGGACTGCAGTCGCCCCGCATTCCCTCGCAAGTCGTTCTCCGACCACGCACCAAGATCTCTTCGTGAAAGGGCATCTTCATACCTCCCGCCACCTAACCTTCACTTCCAATCTCAGTTTCGTGGCCTTGACCCTGGGTCTCGGCCAGATCTGCACGCACAAGCTGAATTTGCGCGTTCTACAGCATCGATCGTGAGGCATGGTGGTTCGCAGGCGTCGCTACATCCCAACAATGCGACTTCTCAAGAAGCTATCGTAACAACCCGAGAAGCTGTCGTGACTGAAGCAATCGCAGAAGAACATCTAGCGACGGAGGAACGGTTGAGAAAGGAGCATGCAGCTGCTGAGTTAAATCATAGGTCGACGAGACGCCCTTGGTTTACATCTTGGCTTTATGCCAAGGTTCAGTGACGAACTGAGTAGGGCTGATTCTTATTTCGGGATACTTTTTGTGGAATCGATATGTTATGTGATGACCAGTCGGAAGAGCATCTAGTTCTAGACTGAAGCTCTGTATCAGGAGGACAAATTCAATGGCGCGGCCAGTGCCGTCAGAGGTCATTCTAGAAGATGATCAAAGGCTCTCGATTCTTCCTGAACCCCGCAGGTAGTGGTGGGCGCATCGGTCCGCACAATTGCCATCTTAGCTCTCACGCAACTCAGGAAAAGTGTCAGACCAAGACGTATGATGATACAATGACGTGAGAAATACAAGACAATGCAGCATGCTCCAACACTAAGATGATTTATACGAGCCCTATATATAGCGACTCTTGATTAATACCAGCTTGTCATGAAGAATTATTAGAAACAAACCGATGACACCACAGGCGGCTCGTCCACCTGCATTTCCGGTCTTGAGAGACTCTTCATTACCGCCATTTCCTAGATCATCGGTGCCCTACACAGCGTATTAAGTTAGTAAGAAGCCACGTCTAATATGTAAGGCGCCATACCGCATGAACAACGACAGCCCGTCTGAAAACGGAAATGAGTTTCGTACTAATAAGCGCCACTGTATATCTAGCTTACCCAACTATGCTCGTGGGGCCATTCAAGGAAATGAGGCTGTCTTCGAAGGAAATGGTGGCTGTGCCATATTCATCGCTCTCGATGTTTCCTAGGTCACCAACATGCCTGACAGAGTCCGAGCGAGCACCATGGGTTTGGTCGTATGGATTGAAGTGCGACCCTGTAGATAAACAACCGCCGCTGAGGTCTCCCAGAGAGCTATCGATATAAGTTGAATTTTTGACCTACTTCGCGAAGTTCGAAGCTGAAGACTCACTGGACATGGAAACCACGCTGAGAAGAAGGGTCAAGGTTGGTTATTTCTCCCGAGACCTTGACTGGTCCATCTGCTGAGGACTGCTCGAACGTGATAGTGCCAGCGACTGGGGAGTCGCCTTTTAGCACCACGATCGCCTGTGTGTTTTGTCAGTCACAATGGTGGGGAACCGTCGATAACGCACCTTTTGGACGATTGCGGTTTTAGATGGCTTGAACAGCCAGGTGTAGCCGAAAAACACAACAGCAACAGTGATTGCTGCAATGAAAAAGACAGGTTTCCTAGACTGTTTTTGATTTGGAGCGTATGTGTTCATGGTAGCTTGTACTAAAAGTCGCGCGCAGTGAGGCATTTAATATTAGTGAGGCAGGCACGACTTTCGGCCCGGGGCGCTCCAGGTGCAAGGAGAGGAGGCCGGGTCCCGCTCCTCGACAGGTTTTCCCACTTATTTTCCCACTGTGGCTTCGTGAAGTGTAACGAAACGCACTTCGAATGTTAACTTGACATCGAGTGTCTATACTTCGATTCGCTTTGTATAATATGGGTTAAATTGAGTTTTGTGGCAGACGGAAGCAGATGCCGATCGGGAATTGCCGAGAAGAAATACATGACGCCATGGCGGTGGCGCTTCCAGGTTCAACGCGCCGCTGCGATCTAGAAACACGTGTTGCTGTGCCTCAATATTCCGATCGTAAAACACTCGAGACAAAGTCGGTAGCGAATTCAATGACATCATTCCCCATCGAGACACTAGCTCGATCGAGCTCCGAGTCGACCTACTGGTACGGCAGAAATCCGCGCAGAGACATATTACGGTCCAGTCTATTCGTGTCTGCTAATCGGTACAGAACGCTGGGTACATCCTACTAGCTAGTACTATTACGGTGTACGTAGATGCATAGGTCCTCGAAATTGTCTATTTTTCCCTACTTATCATGGAAAACCAACGTCAACCACGTCCACACTCGCGTGATTCAAATCGGATTATATATAGCGATGCACAGGATAACACTAAGCAGACACAACAAAAAAGAAAAATGCTAACGTACTATGTAACTCGGTGATAAATGCGAAAAGTCATGAGAACTGCAACAACACTTCCCCAATACCCCTTTCATATCACCAACGGAGAAAATATTGTATATGATGCGTGGCATGTACTGCGCGAAACGGCTTTAGCGAGCCCGAAGGGATCGACGAAGGAAGGGGATGAATGGAGCACGTCCCTGCTCGGCTACTTAGAAAAATAGATACGTTGTGATAAAAACGCCAAGCGCGATAATAACAACCACCTGTAGTGGAACGCCTTCCTGGTGGATAACGCTTTCATGCTCCACCATGGTGCCGACGTCAGATCCAGCATACGTCTCTCCATCGTCTGAGAGCGCAGATGTATGTCGCCTTCGGAAGTCCGAAGGAGCGATCGAGGTAGGCGCAATAGACTCTGGCGCTAGAGAGCTCGGATCAGGCACAGCCGCAAGGAGATCCCGAAGTCGTTGTATCTCGTCCTGAGCTGCGATATACTTCAATTCCAAGTCTTGGTTGATAGAGGGCACCCGTGCAGCTGGAGGTGAGGGTGGCGGTGACGACGAATGCACGTTGACGTTGACGACGCCAACTCCGCCACTAGTAGATCTCTGGAAGTCAAGTTCATCCCGATAAGAACCATTCTCTTGAGAACTGTTCACTTCTCGCTCTGGTGCAGGCGGCGTGGGCGGGCGCCGAGATTGCACGAGCGGTGCAACTTGAACTGCGTCACCATAAGTGAATTCTGGTATAGGTGGAGTAATGCGTGGCTCTGCATCCCTCAGAGTTGCATATGTCTACAGATAGTGCGATCGTATTCAGCAAATCGAATGCTTCCAGGTAGTCAAAGCACTCACAGATGGTCCACCAGCGGGCTCTACAGAAGGGCGGGGAAGCACAGGGGGTTCTTCTTCCTCCTCTTCAACAGTTTGACCTTCGGGCGGGAGGTACACGACACGGAGTTTTTGTTGATAAACTTTCCACTCGTCTCCAGCGCCCTGCTTGAGCATTCCACTGTAAACAAGATATGAAGATAAGAATAAGATATGCACGAGGAAAGACTTACGAATTCCTGTAGGTCTCTGGTCTCCTTTTCGGGTGTGATGAGGGTACTTTGAATTAGGAACTTGTCCTTGCACTTGGTCGACAAAGGTGGTTCGTCTTTCATCGGTTGTAGCATTACTATCGAAGATGTGAGCAAAGTCAAGCATGGACTGAACACGAGGCACATACCGGAGACATCGACGCTTTCACCAGGCTCTATCCTGCCAGAGTTTGGTCGTACGCAGTACAACTATGGAATTTATAAGCCACAGGAATATCCTCCCCTGTATCTCTCTGCTCACCTTGGGCGCAGTGGTCTTAACTTTGAATGCCACAGGCTGAGCATTTTTGTTCGTGATAGTCAGGACTTGCTTGACGAGCTGCGTAAAAGGTCCTGAACGAAAAAAAAGATGAATTATTCGACGGGCGCTAGACATAGAAACCAAGAGAATACGCACTGTTGAAACCCAACGCGTTGTTGGGGATGAGATGGACAGACATAGTTAGGAGAGGTGCGCAACGAGGGCGACAGTGGATATGAGGGAGGTGAACGGTACGTATTCGTTTGGGCGGAGGTTGAAGTTGTAGTGTACCACCTTTATTCCATCCGCGGCGAGGATCACACAAGGTCAAATAAGCAACTCGTGGACTGTGCGTGCTCGCCACACACCACGACGTACTGTCACCAAACATGCATTTATCTGCCTCATAAATCATATTAAGGCGTCATCGCCCGCGGCGCTGATGGTGGGCTCGAGGTATACGAAAGGGTTTATATCTTCACTTTCAACAGGCTCAGAACTCACTGCATCACAGCCGTTAATCGCATTTGCAAGCCTGGCTTGATTTCGCCGTGCGTTTGCATGCAGGCGCAGCAGGCGGTGACTCATCGCCTCTAGGGCACATCCCTATTTACGAACAAGTTGGCCCACATCGTCCTGAAACGGTAAATATTTGTCCAACTCCTTTGTCAGTGGGAACGACGCTCAACGCTTAATTATTGACAGTAACTATCATAGGCTCGTCGGCAGACAACACGGCGAGGCTGTGCTTGCGGTTCAGATTTCATCCTTCAACATCGGCGTCAATTCACCACCAACCGGCTGCCACTAGCCGCCACACCATACGACAGTGGTGAAGCCACCAATAGCGGATGTTTGGATAATAGTAAATGCGGTGTCGAGGTAAATCCGGTTGCATTTCAATTGATGAAAAGCATACTTACCAGAGCCAGTCTAATGTGTCACTGTCGAATCCGATCAAGTGAAGTGAGGGGTGGGTTATGGGCACGGCTAACTTTAAACACTGCATATTGAAAACAGATGAACGTCTGCCAAAATGTTCCTCGGGGATATCCAAGCTTGTACATATTTCATAACTTCAAAATACCTTCCCATGCAAAGTTGGGTTTGTGCATCATCATTTGGATGGCGCCAGTATGGCGTGGACAAGCCAAAGGTCGGCAACCTCCTTCACTTGATCAATGATATCCTTGAGCGGACCTGAGCTAACAGCATCCCAGTGTGCCTGTAATCGATGAGTAGGCGACTCAGAGGAATCAATGTCAGAATTACCTGCACACTCTCCCATCCCAACACGCCGTAAATCACGTTAGGCTGATCGATGACAGGAGCCCAGCTCGAGCCATAGAAGTTTGGTGTCCCTACAAGCCCGGTCTGAAGCTGTGCAACGAGGAGCTCAAGCTTGTCCATACTGGCACCCTCCTTGAGAGTGAAAGTAACAAATTCTGTCACTGGAGCAGAAAATATCTTAGTGTCGGAGAAGTTGACAAACATATGTTTCGGTTGGCCCGTAACGATTTGTTGAGCAGTTGCTTGTATAGCCTTGAAAGCTTCTGTCTGACGATATGCACTGTGCGCAGCCAAGGAAGCCCACTCTGCCAGTGATAGTTGAACACGATTGGACTAGTGTGTCGCAAATTTGACCTACCGAGAACCCAGAACGCATTGGTCGGATCCTCAACCTCGAAACCAAGGTATGCCCTTTAATCGATCGACAATAAGCCAGCATACTTCGAGGATGACTTTCATATTCACTTGGAAAACCCATCCATTTTGCCTGCTGAACATGTGGTCGTGAGCTCAGAAATCAATCGCGAAGGGTCCTCGAGGTAAGACGAAGAGGTCTTGAAGTGCATGATCTTTGTGACAGGCTCCATGATGAAAGGTGATTGAGAGGAAGCTGCCAGGTATTAGAGATCACTTGGTTTGATATTCCAATGATAGAAGGGCGGGCCGAACGCGGGGTCAGTTTGTGTAGCATTAGTGTAGGGCATAATAGCCTCGTGCACGTGGCAGTTGGCAGAAAGAACGGGGCAAATGGTCATGGCAATGGGCAGAAGTCGGTATAAAGCAAATATCGTGAGCGTTTTTGGCGGGTCAGGTGAATTTGACGCGGTCGTGACGTAGTATTGACGCCTTCCGCATGCGTCGCCAACTATTGGTTCCGCTTACACTTGGCACCATAGAAACCTTGGCGGATATTGGGACGAGAGTTGCTAATAGCGTGGCTGATGTACACCGCCTGCGCTCTCCACAAATACAATCAGCGCAATCCAGCGGTCTTCCAAAGACAATAAAGGTGGGAAGCATAGGTGAACGATTTTTTGCAACTGAGCAACATGGAGTGCGTGTTCAGGGGTATGCATAGCTTGCAGGAAGTTTACTACCAGGGTGATTCGAACGTGTGAACTGAACTCCAGACTCTGGGCCTGGGTGCACAGCTAAATCGAATGTTTTCCTCGGGGATATCTAAGATTGTACATTTGTACTTCATAACTTCCCTATACAACGAGTTCGTACTTCACACTTTGTATGGTGTCAGTATAGCGTGAACAAGCCAAAGGTCAGCAATCTTCTTCACTTCATCGATGATCTCCTTGAGGGGACCTGAGCTTACAGCATCCCAGTGTGCCTGTAACCGATGAGCAGGTGGCTCGGAAGAACTAATATTAGAGTTACCTGTACACTCTCCCATCCCAACACGCCGTGAATCACGTTGGGCTTATCAACGACAGGCGCCCAGCTCGAGCCGTAGAATTTGGGCGTTCCTTGAAGCTTAGCCTGGAGCTGTTGAACGAGGGGTTGAAGTGCGTCCATACTAGCATCCTTCTTGAGAGTGAAAGTGACAAATTCCGTCGCTGGTGCAGAAAAGATCCGGCTAGCGTTGGAGAACCCGGCAAATGTATGGGTAGGTCTGCTCGCAAAAACTTGTCGAGCAGCTGCTTGTGTAGCTTTGAAAGTGTCTGTCTGATGATATGTGTCATGCGCAGACTTGGAAGTCCACTCTGCCAATAGTTCAACGCAGTTCGACTAGTATGTCGCGGACTTGACTTACCAAAGACCCAGAATGCATTGGTCGGATCCTCAGTCTCGAAGCCGAGGTATGCCCTTTAATGAATCAACGATAAGCTAGCACGCTTCGAAGGTGACTTGAATATTCACTTAGAGAGCCCTTCAATTTTGTCTGCTGCAGATTTGGTTGCAAGCTCAGAGATCAAGCGAGAGGGATCCTGGAGGTAGGACGAAGAGGTCTTGAAGTACATGATCTGTGTGACGGGCGCCATGATGAAAGGAAATTGAGGGGAGTCTGGGACCGCTGAGTAGAAATTACTTTGGTTTAAGTATCAATGATAGAAGCAGGCCAAGGCCGGCCCGCTTTGTTCACTCCAGAACACTTTTTTTGGATTGAACCGGAGCCAACATTGATATGTTTTTAATTAAACCCCAATGACAGCCTTTGTCATGACAGGTCCGACAAGCTGGCTGGCCTGAGCCACCCCCGGAAGAACACAATTCATGAAGAACGAAAAGACACCTTGCGATCCGAGGATACTTACTAATTAAAATAGTGACGTCATCATCGCAGTCACGTAATGCAGCCTGCCAACTGTCGAGGTTGTTATCCGCCTGAGCTTGTGCGTTCAGTCGAGGTGGAACGTTGAACGTTGAACGTTTGAACAGTCACACTAGTCATGACTCACGAGGACTAAGACAATTCTCACCCGGGTTAATGCTGCCAAGTGGCTGTGTCGAATATCTTAATCGGATGCATAAAGGGTTTGACCTCCAATCGTGTTTGAGGTGAGCAGTTCGCCCGTCTTCGCATCCCAGATTTTACTCCGTCCTCGACCTCACAATTTGGGTGTTTTCGGGCGAGTAGATCACCGTGTACACAGGCACATGCCCTGTTTTGATTATCAGGACTGCTTAACATCTCAGATTCTTACTGTCTCGCCGTCCGAGGATTTGCTGCTCACTGGCATCACTGACAATATTATATACTGTCACTGTGCCTTGTCCATTTTGCAACGACCTTTCCTGTCTTGACGTCCCACAATCTCATCTTGATTTTCGCTGGCAAACAGTCTTGCCGTTTGGAGACAATGCCATTTTGCACACCGGTGCTTTCTTTTTCCCGTCATCTCGCCAGTCCCCGATTATCTGTGTGCCGCTCTCCAAGTCACGTACTCGTAGTAAACCGTCCCTCGAACATGTCATGGTCCGTCGTCCCCCAGGCAGGTGCACAACACCTTGTACCTGTGCAGTGTGACCCTGCATCGTCTGACGGGACGTGCCTGCTGGCGTCTGTTGTTTTATATACTGGTATTGGAAGACATGATCGACGCCGGGAAGGTCTAAATTTTAGCAGATGATCTCATGATGCGAGAGAAGATCATCAGGATCATTGATTAAACTAAGTCATCTTGCAACGGCAAATATCTCTGGTTAGTCAACCTGTCTATTTTCTTTAGCTTCAGTTCCCGTTGACATAAGTGTACAAGTCATCGCTCACTAGACAGCCTGCTTATAGGAATCCAGTCCTCGTCCAGAAGCTAACTTCAGCACTGTGTATACAGGAGTTGCGTGTTAGACAATGTACAGAGCTCTTAGTGAGTGTCCGAAGTCGCTAATAAGTGGTGGGTATGTTGCAGGAGAACCCAGAATATCACTTACGAGGAGCACTGCATAGACGAACTCAGTGCTCAAATCACCAGCGATCCGAGAGTGGGCGCGTGGATTGGAGCTGCGGAAGTTGGGCACCGCTTCGTCCAGGCGTATTCAAAGGCACATCCCATCTGTTATCCTGTGTCTGCGTCACAGCTTAATCACTATGTAGACGAAGCACTCAGGTATGCGACTAGCGCCACGTCTTCCTATGCATAAGGGACTACCTTGATAGTGGTGAGAAATTTCAATGGGGAGCCGCATTTCTTCACCATCTCACATGTTTTGTCCAGCCTCTTTCGAACTCGATGTTGTGAAATCTTCTGTTCGCATGCTGTCGCCGGATATCGTATTCTGACATCTGCGGCGAGAGCTTGCCTTGCTCATATTCTTGCAATCTCGGATAAGCCAGGACACATCCGCATCCTTTCACCGACGACAAGCATTCCACCACAGCTGAAAATTTGACACTACTATTGAGAAGATTGCAAATATATGGGCCGCTTTCCTTAGTCTACTCAAGTTATAGGTGCATCCATATACAAAGATGGCATTAGGCGGATTTTCAGCTGCGACCAAAGTATGTCGCAGTTGCTGCATCGGGGGTAGGATCTCACATGGTCAACACGTGTCAAGAAGAGGTTGCAGCGGACCTGGTTTAGCATTGCTCAAGGACTTGAAGGGTGTGCCAGAGGATTTGTTGGACATGTTTTGGTGAGATCCTGCTATGTTCATGGTTTTGGAAGGCTGCAGGAGGTTGATACTGAGCACACAATGGCACTAGAAGGCAGTAGAAGGACCGCAATTGATGGGATCGTCGGTACCTAGCATATGGCGGATATGTATCGCTTCGTGTGTCAAAAATAAACGTTGTCGAAAAGACTTGATTGAAATAATACATATGTACTTATGTTTTGTATGCCATTGGGATATTCTTCAGAGCCTCTCGAAAGTTCTTATCAAGGTATGCACACCCGACTAGCTAAAGCATACGCTCAATGGCCCGAGTACAACTCTTCTTGTGCCTCCCACTGCAAGTTGCGCATCCTGGCAGTATCCCCGAATCTGATGAGAGCTTGGAGGGTCGTCTGCAATGGTGCTTTATTCTGTCGAGAGAGAATGCCTCGTAAACTTTCTGCAACGTCAGGATGTCGATGCAAGAATGGAAACGTGGTGTCGCTCATTCCAGAGGCGTAGATCCGCAGACATCTGCCTGTTTCAGAATCGCTTGGGTCCCTCTTCAGATATGTAGCGCTAAGCTGCGGGTCCAGGTCCCTGTTGAGGTTGAGAAGGAGAGCGATGTAGGGAAGATCTGATTGGCACTGAATCGTATCATGCGCGCGTATTATAACCTCGATCTCCTATATTGCTATTCTTCCCCGCTTTGTCGGAAATGAAAATCTGGGACATGCGTTTCGAATCGGGGCCAAGGTCGGGATCGTCAAAATATATAGGGATCATCTTGTCTGCCAGCGGCTGCAGAGGGCAACATTGCACCGCGCTTGCGCGACGCCAATGTCGCAGAGTCCATTCTTGAGCATCGCATCTAGCACTTCACAACGACGTCTTAGAAATGATATGACTTGAACAACGTTTAGAAGCTTACCTTTCCAACTCCTCAGCTGTACCGCCTTCGAAATCACTGGCATCCGGAGGCGAGATAAACTCTTCCATAGATATCCAATGAGAAAAATTGATGTAGGCATCCTCAAAAGCTGTCTCGGCCTCCTCTCCCGCCTCCGACTAGAACGCCGCGCCAAAAAGGTATTCCAAGAACTCGATGACAGAGACGTTCTGGCAGTCCAGCAGCTCCGAGTACTCATTTTGGAAAGAGAGTACATTCCGGATCACAAATTTGGAGGGCTTCGCTGGCAGGCGGATGAAGAAATCCTGGGCAAGAAGCAGCAAAAGTCTGCTGACCAACGTTAACGTTCAACTCTCGGCTCTGTCCGATTTCGACCATCCCACTACCAATCCTGCTCTCCAAGACAGACAAAGCATTATGCAATTTTCTGGGTGGTTGATGGAGTAACATTGCTGCGACGCAAGACAGAAGGGGCTCTGATGGATAACCAATATTAGTATTACTCCAGAGCCCATTTTCAGTTGCTGAGAAGCGTATGCGCAAGTGGCCAGCCACTGCTGTTTCGATGTAAGAAACAGCATGGAGATGATCAAAGCAGATGTCGATGGGTGTACATACTAGCTCAGGTCAACGACGAGCCTATTATTTGTTTTGTGGCTTCTACCTTGGATGCAATTTTGTCCACTCAAGACTAGTGTCAGTATACGTAACGTGATAGCCCGTGATTCTGAGAGGAGAGGCCTCCTAAAATTTTCAGATTCGAAGTCCTCTCTTCAATCCTACAACCATGACTATGGCGGTCGGATTCTTGTCGCTTCCTACAGAGCTCATATGTCACATTCTAATCCTTCTTAACCCCAGGGACATTAGTCGCTGTGCAATGGTTCGTAGTTCCACACTGATTTCCTCCATGGCTAATGTTTGATCATACTAGACCTGCAATATCTTTTGGCTTGTGGTCCGAAATTCTGTCTAATTCAATACAAGCTTGAAATTCATGCTCAAAGCTTGATTAGTACTGGGACCGCTGCCATGAATTCGACCGGCGTTTCCAGAAAGACTCTGTGCTCGCTCAAGAAATTGGCATCTTTGTGGCGATCTGACTTCCATGCGACCACTACCTTTGAAACAGTGGTCGCTACTGCTGCCACATATATTCCATTTTTACCGATCCAAGATGTGAAATGTGGGCTTTGGTGGTCACGCTCGCTGGATGAAGACAAATTCTACATTCAGGATTGTGGCACGAATCCTACACACTCCTGGACATGGTCTATCGGTGATGTCGAGGACTTTTTTACTACCTTCGACGCTCTGCAGGATCTTATGGTTGTGTGCTCTGAACCTGATGATTGTGTCACTGTGACCGATGCGGAACAAGATTATCATGTCTGTTGGGTGGAGTTCCGACCGGCTTCGTCCCAGCGTCGACATCCGAGTGCTGCATGCACTTCCTTGGAGTGCAAGCATACCTTTGATGCACCTGGCTATTACCGTGCTGCTTTGTCGTCACCTGTAATCTGCGGTGATCACGTATTTATCCTCTATCACATAGAGGTCACGAATTGCTGCCATTCTGAGTCTGTGTCCGGCATGTTCTTACAAGTGATCAATTGGAGGAAGGGATATGTGAATAGGGTGAGTTCCCTCTGTTTGTGAAAATTCTGCTACTCAGCATAAGCAGCATTTTTTATGTCACATGGATATCTGCAAGTTAGATCTGTTCTATCCAGTTGATGAACAGAAGTTTGTCATCATTGGCCCGGACTCGATATACTTGTACACGTTACAAGGGCTCAATGGGTCGCCTCAGTGCCGAATCATATATCACTTTCCCAAGATCCTCCATCTATCATTACACAACTCGCGCATCAGGGTTCATGGCCACCCATCACTGCATGGCAAAGCAGCACGCCCAGGACTTATGCCGAGCCATGTACCCTCACTGGAGTCACATATTATGGTTTTAGAGTCTCCTTTCAAAGCGGGGAAACCGAAAGCTATCCTAGTCATCAATATGGCCATCTTCTCTGACATGGCCCTGCACTCAGATATGCTCGTAGAGATTCCCTGGTCAGATTGGGGACCTCAGTTTGCGTGCTACTTTCCGCACCACGAAAGCCACCATATCAGCGTGTTTGGCAGCAAAATGGCTTATGCTCTTCCCCAAGATCATATTCCTAATCCTGGTCAAAGACTGAAAGGGCTCTCCAGTGAGGGTTACTTCTATGTGCATATCTGGGATTTCAATAAACGAGTCATTGCTCGTTCGGAAAGTGTCAACGATACTGACTCACCGGACCTTCGCATTTGCAAGCCGGGTCAGATGATTGACTCCTTTGGTGAAGACATCTTCTCGAATCGTGCATACATCGCAACGGTCTGTCATACGCCATTTCCGACAGCTGGCTCCAGTATATTCTTGGAACAGGATCGGCTTACTGTGACATGGGTACGCGTTCTTCGTTTGAACACAGTAACAGTCTGACGTGGCTGCGTTGTAGGCTCGGCATGATGAGATTAGTATTCGGGTCATTTCCCCCATTCAGATGGAGGTTGGCCCGGACCTTACAGAATAGACAGTTTGGTTGCCCAGTGTTATGCTTGTATTATGTTTGTATTGGAAAGTGAGTAAGATAGGTGGGACTTAGCGATGCCGATGTAATTTTACGAACAATATGTGTTTTGATGACAAGCACAATATCGAGGTTGCTTTCGCAGTTCGTTCAATCAGACGAAGTCTACGTATTTGCAATTTACATTGAGGTTATATGCAAATGCCATGGCATCGAGATCTGCCACTCGGTCCGATACATGATCGAGCTGAGAGAAATATTCTCGAGTACTGATGACTAGTCGAGGAACCAGGACACATTGCTGGATGGTGACGAAGAATGTTGCAATGTTTCTATACCACCGGCTCTCGTCGGTATCACCCTGTAGTTCATCATGCTATAGTCATTGGTAAAAGTATCGACAGGAAAATGCTTACATTTGTAGATATAGTAGCAACCTGCATGACGCTCAATATGAGATAGCTAAAAGGAATGGTAAGAATGTTTGAAAGGTAAGAAAACGGCGCGAATCAACTCTAAGAACTTGAACAAAGGAGGCCGGAGACCCGCCAATAAATCCAAAGTAAAGGTCATCACATCCGGTAGCTGGCCAAAAGCTTGGTGAGCCAGATGTAAAGCTCATATCCCGCGTGCAGGTCAGAACGAAAGAAGAAGTCAACCCATGCCACCTTACTTCCGCTTTTGTAAGCTTCCCATATCGGCGTGCCATTGACCAAATCCATCATTAGTTAAATCTTACTGTCGTCTGCTTAACTGCTACGCCAGAAGGCAGTGATACTGAAAGCTTGTGTGATAGTATCTCGGACAGAGATCATGGGACATGGGGAAGGAGTAATAAGTATGCCAGATATGTCTCGCACAATACCTTCGCATTCGAGTCCCGCAGGTAGATCATAGGCGTGCGAAGTAGGGAGCGCATTGCATGACCAATAGCCTTAGTGCGAGGTTGCGACAGAACGAATACATGATTAAACACCAGTCCACAAAAGGCGTTCCAGATGACGGGTGAGCTCATCCAGGGAAGAGAAAAACCAATGCTGGTGAAGGTCCGATGTGCCTGAGGGAGGAGAAATCGGAGTGAGAGATGAGGCTACAGAGCGGCGGAGTGCAGCCAAGGTGAACTGCTGCTGCGATAAACGTCGTGCGAGTTTGAAGGGAAGTGCTGGGTAGGTCACGGTGCATCGAGAAACGTCAGCATCAGACGAACTCACAACCTCCGTCCGCAGGATTCAAAATTCCGCAAAATTGCAAGGACACTGTTTGCTTTTAGTCATGCCTCAGAACACTTACATCCAGTGCATTAGGCAGCATCACGCAGGACGTCGGATTGCTTTTGTAGTACATACATGGTGATGCAAAGAGCCACGGTGGATCACATGCGACGACGGACGACATGGATACTTCATCAGGGCAATACAACGGGTCATAAATCAATGGATACGTGGATGTCTCGTGTTCAACATCATGAGGTGGGCAATCATGGAAGCTAAGCGACATCCTGAGACAACGATTCAGCGAGAATAAAGGTAACAAGCACGACGAAACACGTACGCGGAGCAAGAAAAAGACAGTTACAATGAACGAGAGAAGAGAGACCAAAAATACACAATTCTAATGCGAGAGATAGGAAGAAATAACTTTGAGAAAAAGGAGCAGATGAACAAGGCAAGTGGGGGACCTCGGAGACACAATCGGAAATGGAATTTGTTTCACGCGCATACAAGAGTGCCTGATCTGACAGAACCCTCTAGAGTCGGGGAACAGCAATGACAGTCACCGATTGATTACGTTTGTCATGACAGGTCCTGAGCCACCCCGAGAATCGATCAACCGGGGGATCCAACATAATTCATGAAGAACAAGAAGACACCTTGCCTTCCGAAGATACTTACTAATTAAGATGTTAACGTCATCATCGCAGTCAAGCAGCTGTGCAGCGGCCAGTACTCTGCTCCACCTTATTAGACGCCATGACGAGCAAAGCAATGAAAACCCATCAGGCCGCTGCTGCGATCCCCCAGTTCACCTCGAAAGATTACTCTTCTTTCTTCCTCGCAGGTAATGTCTGACAATCATCATGTCTCCTAATACGCGATTTTGAAAACATCCATCTCAGGAGCACTATGCTGCACGTAAGTCTCCCCGACGATTCATACCAGCCATGCATTTACACAGATAAAGGATCACCCATGGTGCAATGACGCGTGAGGCGCAACTTTCTTGTCTTTTGATCCGCCATTCACTCGTGCAGCTGTCGACGTCGTGAAGACGCGAATTCAAATTGACCCCGCGTACAAGAAGCTGAACATGTTGACCGGAACGCGTTATGTTATCGCGACAGAAGGTCCCAGAGCTCTCCTTACAGGTTTCGGCCCAACTGCAGTTGGCTATCTTATACAAGGAGGCGCAAAGTTCGCTGGTTACGAATATTGGAAGAAAAAGGCAGTCGAGTCTGTAGGTGGCCCGGAGGCGGCAGTCAAGTATCGAACGGCAATCTACCTTGGATCAGCCAGTATTGCTGAGTATGTCGCGATGCACTGATGATCTTCAAACTTCCCTAAATTTTATCATAGGTTTTTCGCAGATATCCTTCTGACACCTTTAGAAGCCACTCGGATCCGTCTCGTGTCAGACAGAACTTACGCAACTGGACTTGTCACGGGTTTCACTCGTATAGCGCGTGAGGGTGGCATGCGCGAGCTTTACGCAGGCTTTTTACCGATTCTCTGCAAGTAAGCCTATAATGACTGACGACTTTCGCATAAATAATCATGTTCTGTCCAGACAGATACCTTACGCTATCGGGCAATTTACGGTGAACGAACTCTGTCATGAGATTGTTTTTCGTTCAATTTCCGAAGAGACTCGTCGCACATTATCCAGTACCAGCAAATTCACAATCCAGCTCGGTAGCGGCATCATCGCAGGTTTTGCAGCAGCCATTCTGAGTCAGGTTAGTATCTGTGTCAACTCGGAAGTCTCTTCATCCCAGATTGTCTGACCTCTGCATGCAGCCAGCGGATACCTTACTGAGTCAGATAAACAAGGGACATGGACCAAAGGGCTCCATGCCGCATCGACTTGCAGTACTCGCTCGGGAGGCTGGTTTCCGTGGCCTTTTTGCTGGTCTCGGACCTAGGATGATCATGACCGCAGGCCTTGTGTCCGGGCAGTTTTTACTGTATGGTGCAATAAAAGAAGGCAAGCATCAAGGAAATTTTACATTTCACTCTTTAACCATTCACAATAGCTTTGGGCGCACCTCCTGGTGTAGAGATACACAAAGAAGCTGATGCTGTTGTTTGATAGACACCAAGATTCGAGATTCACTAGAAGGCTTCGCTTGTATTTTCTAGAGTCACAGAAATTCTTACAGTGGTACCATACACGGGTAGAACACCACCATTTATGCGGATCTCCAGGCCACAGCAATGATAGTAACCATAGTCATAAGTTTGTCGGGAGACAATACGGTGAGGCTGTGCTTGCGGTCTTCATGAGCTAGCGTCAGTGCCAGTTCACCACTGACCGCTACTGGATACGATAGTGGTGGGTATTGGGAGACCGGCATACTGCTAACTTGTGAAACAGCGCGTGTCAAAAACAGAGGAACATCTGTCAAAATGTTCCTCGGGAATACCTTCTTACACAACACAGCATTTTGTTCGTACAGAACGTTCGAGAATCAAGTTCATACATTGTACCCCGTCATTATGGCATAGACAAATCAAAGGTCGGCGATCTTCATCAATGATCTCGCTCTGAAGGGACCTGAGCTTACAGCATCCCAGTGTGCCTGTGATCGATAAGCAGGTGACTCATAGATGAAATTACTTGCACACTTACCCATCCTAACACGCCGTGAGGTACATTGAGCTTAGCAATGACAGGCGCCCAGCTCGAACCATAGACCCTTGAAGCTTTTTCAACTTCCGTGGGAGGAATTTTCACCCGAAGGCCCGAAACGCGAATGGTGATTGGGCATATCTTAAGCAGGGGTTCAATAAGGAAGAGGTGTTGCGCGAGAAGAGCGGCGGGGAGTGGGTTATGGAAGATACGTTCTCACATGCGGACATCATCGTGGCAAGTCGACTGTTCTGGTACAAGTGCATCTTGGAGGATGAGTGGGCGAGGATCAGCTCTTGGAATGGAGAGAGATGGACAAAGGTGCTAGATAAGGTTCAGCAGGAATGTCACCTGGCGTCACGATATGAAATCTTGGTAACTTGAGGTATCAAAGTTATAGATACCAGAATCACATACTAAGTGCTGCAGCTGCCAACATTCATCATCCTGTACGACTATACTAAGCGATCTTCCCGAGAAGAGATGGGCGCCTGACAACTTGAACCCATCAAAGACGTCATGCCACATCAGTAGCTGATTGTTTTGTTCTTATGTCCTGTCTGCGTAAGCCTCAAAGCGTAAATGATGTCTATGAGTGGTGAAAAGGCTGAACCGTGACACCTCCTGTCAGTGCAGACACTGCAGAGGTGGGACAATCCTGCCAGTAGCTTGACACCTGATAGGAATATCGGCAACATTAAGAAATCTGTCAAGTTCTTGAATAGCGACGACTTAGCGAGGGAAACGGTAATTTTGGGATACATATACCTCCAACGTGCTTGAGAATTCCTCCAGTAGCCAAAGCATGGCAAGCCGGGCCATTTTGATACAAGCATGTCTTGAAGAAGGAACGGTGGGCAGGAATGCGGCCTCCCGTGACCCGTCTGCTGTCGTTATGACTATCTGGACAAGATATTCTTCTGTCATGTGTGAAAACGTCAGCCTTTACGGGTCAGCGAACCGGTGACCTGCCAGCGAGACACTCGAAACTTCTGGGATTATAAATACCAGAATCACATCGTAGGTACAGCTACTTGCAGAATGCAACCCATCATCCTGTATGACATACCATCCAAGCTCCCCAAGAAAAAATGGGCACCCAACCCATCAAAAACAAGGTGCTGTGGACGCATTCAACTCATGATGACCGACTCACACTACGCATCAGATTCTGTTTCGGCTACAAAAACCTTCCGTATGAGGTTATCTGGGTGGAGTTTTGTGACATTGCTGCAACCATGAAAGGTCTTGGCGTATCTCCAACAGCTGGGAAAAGATACACAGTGCCAACCATTAAAGACCCCAACACTGGCGTAGTGGTCTCCGACTCCCATGCTATTGCCAAATACCTCGACGAGACCTACCCTGACAAGCTACTTATACCCCGCGGGGCACAGGTACTCTTAGAGACCTTCGAGACCCTGTATATCAACACAGTCATGATTCCGTCCTTCAAGCTCCTCGCGACCAGAACTCTCGAGATACAGAATGATATTAGCCGGGAAGTATTCATCCAATCGCGGTTAAAAATGTTTAGAGAAACACATTGGGAAGATATGGCTCCTGAGGGGAAGGCACAGCAAATGTGGGCTGCGTTAAAGAAGAACCTTGATGTAGTGGACGGGTGGTATCAAAAGAGCGGGGGTAGGTGGATTATGGGAGACACGTTCTCGTTCGCGGATATCGTCGTGGTGTCCTGGATGGTTTGGTGGAACGCTATCTTGAACAAGCAAGAACGTCAAGAGGTCCACACATTGCACGGGGGAAGATGGGCACGTCTCTTGGCAGATGTGAATGCCGAGTGCAACACAGAGTTAGGCTCCTTTGAAGAACATAGTCGTTCCCTCTTATGAGTTTCGCTAGTAGCTAAAGAAATAGTTCAACTTGAAGTTGCAGTGACCGATTCAAGTTGGCCCCGCACAAATAAGGACAAGCTAATTGTCGCGCACGTGACCGCGTTGCCCCGCACCGTGACTCCAACTTGAACGCGTCCGTGCTTGCCATGAACATATCCCAACGATGAGTTGTAATTATAGCTTCGGTATGAACTGAGGCAGGAATTAATGCAGATTATCTAGGCACTGAGGAAGACTCTCTTGTATCCCAGGCCCCAGGCACCCTTCAAAATCTCGCGGCAGGAAATGAAGCTGAGAAGGCGGCAAACTGTGCTAGGTTCGTTAGGCATATGTTTGAATCTTATCGTACATTCTTACATATTGTGCAGAATCCTGACGGAAAGTAGGTTTCCAGTCAAACTCATTGTCCGGTGCCACTGAAACGACCAATGACCAGCTTTCGGTCACACGGAGTACAAGGGGAAGCAAAAAGAAATTGTCGAGGCTGCTACTTCTGGTGAGTCATTATGGCACAATTGTGTCAAACAAATCAATTATTTGTTATACAGGATTGGATGTCTTTGTATTAGCGCCGACGGGAATGGGCAAGGTATTTGCAAATGAACTCAAATAACAACAGATCGTCCATAACATCTTTCGGTCTACAGAGCCTGTGCTTTCAGATTCCAGCAGTCGCAGATATGGTATGCTTTCGAAACCACTATTTGACAGGAGCTGACTTCATCATAGTTCGGCATCTCCATCATAGTTTCACCACTATTGGGTCTGTCGAACCTACTCATTGAGGTTGGTTTAATAAACTGACCTATTACTCCAGCCCTGATGAAAAACCGTACGTTGCGTGCCTGTTCGTTTTTTCATTCGAGGCTGGACTGGATTGTGCAGAAGTATCAAGTTTGCGCCGCAAAGGACTCCCTGCCGTCTCTTGGACATCGGACACACCGAAGGGCGAACGAGATCAGGTATTGCCGGTGCTTCTGTATAATTTGAGCTTGCTGACTTATGTCCTGTAGATTATTGAAGACCTCGAATCAGGGAGCCCACAAACTCGTCTTCTATATAGTGAGCTTGCTTAACACGAGAACGTATATACAGTGAGCTAATCACAATTTCGATCAGCCACACCTGAAAAGCTGTGCACACGTGAAATGATGCGCCTTCTTGAAATTGTTTATGCGAAGGGCGAACTCAACAGACTGGTTGTAGACGAGGTAAGCGCTATCTGTGGACAACGTGAAGACTGCTCATTCTTTCATTCTTTCGCAGGCTCACTGCATCTCTGTAAGTATCATAACCCTTCTTGCGTTCAGAACTTACTAACAACAATGGTTTCCACAGGAGTGGGGCCACGACTTCCGTGAGGAATATCGCAAGTTGGGCTCTTTTCGGGAACGATTTCATGGAGTGCCCATTATGGCCCTCACAGCAACAGCAACCCCGAGGTATGTCCGTCAGACTGCAGGCATTATTCTCTGCTTGATTTTATTCCATACTTACATTGTTATGGTTCCAGTGTTCAAACAGACATTATACGCAGCCTCAAGATGTCCGAAGAAAGATTGTTTACCGCTTTGCACCCCTTTAATCGCGCTAACTTATTCTATGACATCAAGTACACTGCGGCGCTCGACTCCCTGTCTCGTATGTCAGCCGTATACGATTTTGTAATTACCCTACACCGTCGTCGAGCCCGACCAAGCTCTGGGATCATCTACTGTCGTGCCCGCCTGGCGTGTGATGAACTATCGGCCTTTCTGAGGGGAAAGGGCATCAGTGCCAGGCCATATCATCGTGGGATTAGGTGCGTCTGAAGCGAGTTTTGAAGCGAGGTCCCTGATGTGATTATGACTGTCAAGCTCTCATATGCTGGATAAGACGTTGAGCGAATGGGAAGCAGGTGGAAATGGTGATGGTGGTGTTGATGTGGTGTGTTTTCTCCGTGTTCGTCAATCGTCTCTTCTAACATATCGCTTAGGTCTGTGCAACCATCGCTTTTGGAATGGGGATCGACAAAAGCGATGTTCGGTCAGCTCTCTCTTCTCCAGAGTTTGTGTGATATTGACGCTGATGATAAGTTATATCGTTCACTACGATCTTCCGAAGAGCTTCGAAGGTGCGTGTTCTTCATAAACTACTGTGAGGGGTACCATTGACCGGTAGCCCATATTATACTCAGGGTATTATCAAGAGACAGGTATAGTGATGCTACTTAGTTCGCCCATCTTTTTTTAACTAGTTTTTTCCAAATAGGACGAGCGGGTCGCGACGGCTATGTGAGTTTATCTCTCGTGCCACTTTTTCGTGCTGATTAGATCCCCATAGCCGTCTAAATGCGTGCTCTATTACTGTGAGGTCGTCGTTATCATCACTAATGGACACAACTGATGTTTGGATGCAATTTACAGCTCGTGAAGACGCCTTTCGCCTCCGCAAGTTAGTGTCTGATAGCCACGCCAAGAGACAACAGGCTGCAAGCACCATGTACGGTCCTCAACCCAGCCAAAGATCCATTGATAGTTTCAGTGCAGTGAGTGACTTTTCCTTGCTGGCGTCATAAGACTCATGAGTTCTAGTTGATTGACTACGCAGAAAATGTGACTATGTGTCGACACGTGGTTGGTCTCATCCTGTTCAGCAGAATGATTTGATCTAATCCCAATCAATTCAAGTCTATCTGCAAGTATTTTGGCGAAACAATTGATACGAGTGACAAGGAGGTCGTCAAGAGCTACTGTAATAATATGTGTGATGTGTGTCTTCTCCGTTCCTTCTCTCAGCTTGAACTGTGATAGAGCGCACCTCAGGTGTGCAAATACCCTGATAAGGCCCTGCGCCGAAAACAGAATCTCTCCTCAGAGGACCGCGTTGCCGTACTGTCGAACTCGCGTTCCTTCAATACGGATGTATTCGAAGATGACGTTGAGAGTTCATGTCCAGTGCCTCAAAAGGCTCCTCCTGGTCAGCCTAATCCTGGACAAGCGGGAAGTGGCGGGTTGAAAAGGCCCAACGCCTGTCCTGCAGGTCCGTCCAAGAAGAAAGCAAAGCTAGAGGTACTGCCACCTGCATTAAGTGAGCATTACACGTTCCAACATTGAGTAGTCCATCTGACACTGTGATAGTCACGAAGCCTTATAGTTCTGTCGGTACCCTAAGGAAGCCATTCAAAACACCATTACAAGGTGCCGTTCAAACAACCTCCACAAGAAGCACGTGTTATCGAGTCTTTGGATGCTCAGCAAACCCCCCAGAAACGTGAAGAACAAAACTACCACAATGACGAAATTGAAGTTGTCAAGGTTTGCTTGAATTCTGCTTGGCAAGCTCCGCAAGACGATTTGCTGCAAGATGACGTCCTGGAAGAGGAACCTATGGACTTTAGTCAAGGTGGCGGTGATGTATCCCTCGATGATGGTACGTCCAAACACGAGCAGTGACCACAAAGAAATTTTAAATATCCGCAATCTTCAGAACCTCAAATACACCTACCCGAGATTGACATTGAACTGGAAATGATGTTCTCCAAGAAAATACCTGTAAGTTGGAATCCTGCGTAGCGCACGAAAATGATGGACGATATCGCTTAGGAACCAGCAAGGAGAGAAGTCTTTCGCACTATTAGAGAAGCTTTATACAGAGTTCTCCGCTGGGATGATGGCGATGAAGGGTTGTGGGCCAATTTGAGCAATGCTCCATCCAATGCTGAAGCAAGGTACTCCTCACGTATTCACGAAGTGCTCATCTTGATGATTATCACCGGCCTAGACATCTACTCCTGGCAGAAGCCGCTAAAGATATAGAGTACTCTGTGCACACGATGTCTGCCACTGAGTCTGGTTACAACCAAAAAGCAAAGGCAAAACTACGTGTGGTCAAGCTCATGGAGCACAGGGAAAGTCTTTGGCCGATCGATGTAGCTCATTATGATGAGGATGAAGAGGAGGCGATCGAGATGATAGGATTATTGAGGAACATCTGCAGTCGCTGGAGAAACACTGGTAAAAGAAAAGGCCCATGATCACTGTCTCTCGCCTGTATGGATGTGCGATATACAATTAGACAGCCTGAGTGTGATGAATCACTATAGCCAGATGGACCACCCGGAGATCCTCGGCAATGTCTGTAGCTGTCTGCTACATCTAATTTCCTCGTTTGTGAATGCAAGACCATTCTCCGTTCGAGTGGAACTTTCGTCTTTATACTGTGCATAGCACGATTGTGTCACTTCCACCCCGAAACCTTCGCCGAGCCATTGCGGCATTCCCGCGATCATCTCTGCTATAGGCTTGAGGGAATGGTGTTGTTGAGGTGGAATAGAAGGAGAAGTAGGTATTGGTATATTTGAAGTAAAAGTAACTAAATACTACTTCACTACTGTTACAAACCAAGCACGCAGTACCCGCCGGAGTGTCGTCCACCCCGTTATTGGGCTGTACATCCATACAAGCGCTAAAGATTCCAACACGGGAAAAAGGCGAAAAATAAAAGTAGAAACTCCCGATGGTGTCTGGATCATTGTGATTTGAGGCCTTTCGCATACCTCCACGCGAATTCCGTCAATGTTGCCCCAATGCAGATGGCATACATGACTAGCCAGAGCGCGGTGATGACGCGGCAGACAGTATTTTGGAAGTTAAAGCCTGCTATCAACATCGCTGCATATGAAATAGCACATGAGGACACAGAGAGAGCACTGAATTACCGGAGCTCACCGAATATGAAACAATTCAGGGACAGGCCAACAAATACTATGGGCATGATGATCGATAACAGGTAGGGAAAGAGGAAGTAGCCGCCTGTCCTAAGTTGCTGTTAAGATGTCAGCCGATGTCATGGGTAAAGCAGGAGTACCCTTACTTCTCGAGTCCACTGCCGATCAGTGTGTAGCCAGCGAATCATGCTCAAACCAGATGTCATCACTGCAATCATGGCCAGCATGAGTGACATAAAGAGCAGGAAATAGGTTGCAGGTGAGGAATAGTTAAAGTAAGATACAGGAGAACCTGTGGACACGAAAACAGCATTTGTCGCGAGAAGCAGGCTCGCCTTGAACCATGTCAGTGGCAGTTTGAACTCGGGGAGTTGAATAGCTTACTACAGAGATAGTGTTGGACAGGATGGAGCACAGCTTTTTCCTCACGTCCTCAAATCCTTCTTTGGATTGCAGTGACTCCCAGTGATCTTCAAGATCAGGGCGTCCGAGTGCCAAAAAACAAAGTACTCTCGTTAAAGAAGACGTGTCACGAAGAGATGCGGGGATTGTTTGCTCTTCGGTGAGTCTTCTGTCATCAGTGGTCCCGTAGAACGTGAAAACCTAGCATCCTAATTCAGTTCTATGACAGCAAATCTTTGTTTTCAAAGCACACCTCCGAAAAATACTGTAGGGCCATGGTGAGCACTATGTCAAAGAGGAGAGGTGAGGTGAATTGATGCTACGTCTCGACATGTTGGAGACTTTTTGTAGTTCCCAAATCTTCTGCGTATAGAGTTAAGTGAAGCTTCAGGCCTCAGGTGGTGCTGTGAAATGTTGATTAAGTTATGTAATGTTTGAGTGGGGGTTCAGGTACACCGGTCCTGTACCAAATTAATACCGGCACGTCGGGTCTTACGCTTGACCGGTGCTATCATCTATGCCCCTCGAAGGCTTAGCGCTTAAAGTTAAGACGTCGGAGTCTCCGCTTAGTAACAACGTTGCAACAAGTTCTCCGTGATGTGTATATATACACAAGCTCTACTATAGTACTTATCCGCGGACGTCTGCTCAACAGCCTCCGCTAAATTCGGGCTTTAGATCTTTGCATAACCACTCCTCCACCCATAATCGCTTTCATGCCACAAAGTGAACTTCCGTTCAGCTGTCAGTCATGTTCTCGTCAGCCTGTCGACATCACAAACGAAACCAATGCAGGGGGCCTTTAAGGTGATCTGCCCTGCCCTCGTCCGTCGCTGTCACTTCTACGCAGGAACCTCGTCATCCGCAACTTGCAGCGGCACCTCACCCTAAGTCACCCAAGAGCAACACCTCGTATTGAATACCCGCCACACTCACCTGAATCCGCACCTCTACCCTCACCCATCCCGTATTAACCGTGGGTCCCTTTCGCTTCCATGTTCCCCCACCCAATCGCACGATTGCGCCTACCAATTGCGCCATACACAACCCATGACTCACAAGTACGATATGCTCGTCCCTCTCAGACCTCGCAACATTCACTACATGAGGAAGCACAACATCCTTCACTGCTGACTCACCCCTCCTCGTCAAATCCTCCGCCGACTCCCCACCAGGGAACGCCACGCGTTTCTCGCTTTCATATAACAGCGGGTACTTTCCCTCTGTAAAGTGAGCTTCGAGTGTCTTGCCTGGCTCCCGTACGCATGTCTGATGTCATTCTGTGGCTCCTTCTCTGATCTCGGTGATGGTGAAATCATGAGGAGGCTTGGGTGTGAGCTACGCGTCTAGTACCACTTGGGCTGTGTCCCGGAGAGGTGGGAGAAAGGCTTACCTGCGTCCCTGATAGCCAAGGTCAGTCGCGATGCTCGTTAGATAAACGTGTGTTCGAACTATTACTTACCTCTTTCCGTCAGAGGACAGTATCCATATTGTTACCCCTCTTGAGAGTAAATGACAAATCTTTTCACTGGGGAAGAAAAGATTCGACCAGTGTCGGAAAAGTTGACAAAAGTATGGGTAGGTCTGCTCGCAAAGAACTGTCGAGAAGCTACTTGTGTAGCCTTAGAAGAGTCTGACTGGCGATGTGTCATGTATAGGCTTGGAAGCCCACTCTGCAAGCTAGTAGTTCGATATCATTGGACCTGAAGTTGTGTACCGAAGACCTAGGATGCATTTCTCGGATCCTCCGTCTCGAAATTAACGTATACCCCTTCGTTGATCGAAGATAAGCAAGTGGCACGCTTCGAGGATGACTTGAGTATTCACTTGGAAAGCCCTCCAATTTTGTCTACCGAACTTAACTCAGACTTGGGATCCTACGAAGAGGTCTTGAAGTGCATGATCTGTGTGACAGGCCCATGATGAGAGGCGATTGCGGCTATTTTCATATTGATAAGACCGGATTTCATTTTTTCGTCTTACCGCTTCTATTACCTGTGGAGCTACACCTTTTACGGTACTGTTCTAGCGGAACAAGGGCGGAATACGTCCCCAGGATGGCACAGGACTCAGGAGTTCGCTGCTTCCCTCTGCAAGTGGGCCATGGAAGAAGCAACTTTTTCTCACGGTCGCGCCACGCCTCTAGGAGTTGGACAACGAGGAGGAGAAATCATAAATGGCGACGAACGAAGCAGCAACAACAACAGCGGCTCCTCCAAACCCCGCGAACATAATTACCGCCCTGACTAGTGCCTTTAAAAGTCAAAATGGCGAGGCAGCATCGAGCACGCGCATAGCCCAGCTCCTCGAGCAGAACATGGGCCAGCTTGGCGAGCTTATGCGGCAGGGCAAGCTCACTGCCGTACAGATCCAGCAGGTCCGTCGGCTTTTAAACCAAGTGAGATTTATTTTGTCTCACCTGGGCGTCTTATCTGTAGCTGAAAGATTACGCTGAAAAACACAAGTCCGCGACCAGTGCTGCTTCGGGAAATGTGGCTGGCACCTCAACCGCGAATGGCGGTACGAAGGTAATGATGACTCAATGGGTAGGAACCTCCTTTATCTCATCCCCTTTGTGGTAGACTGGGGCTACTGCAACAACTGCTACCGCTTTTAAAAGCGGGTCACCAGCACCTCTTCTTACATCTACACCTGGTGACGGGTATCCCATTAGCCAAACTCTCAACACTACCAATCCAGGGCCCGTCCAGTGGGCAGCTGCACAGCAGGGAAGACCAACTCTTACAGGTGGAATGACTAGCGGCAGAGTGTCTGGTGAGTTCCTGACGATCATTTGCGGGGAAAGTAGCGATCGCCTCCGAGTAATAATCTTGATCCATATCGCCAGGTACCCCTGCTCAGATCGCACGATCGACGGACGATGCTGGTATGCTCAGCATAGAAGACAACCATCCACGGAGAAAGAATACCCCGGGAGATCAGAGTATGAGACGGTCGATACAAGACCTCGTCTCAAGTGTTGATCCCAATGTTCGGATCGAACCTGACGTGGAGGATGTAAGTCACTGTACTCAAATCCTTCGACATGTCCTTCATTGTACCATATACAGCTACTTCTTCAAATCGCTGACGAGTTCATCGACTCGGTCACAAACTTCGGTTGTCGACTAGCAAAACATCGCGGCGGCGACACGCTCGAAGTCAAAGACCTCCAGCTTCACCTTGGCAAGTCTGATCAGTTCATTCTCCCTCGTTCTACTCATCGCTCTGTTTCAGAACGCAACCACAATATCCGTATTCCCGGATTTGCATCGGATGACACGCGAATAGCCTTATCTCAGGCTGCTGTAGGACCTTCCGTGCCTGCAGCGGGAACAAAGAAAACAGCTCAAGGCACATCCATGACTTTACGCAGTCACCGCTTGGCGCAGGTGCAACAAGCGAAGAGAGAAAACAAGCTCGCATAGTGAATCGCGCTGGACATTCTTGCTTTCTTTGCTATCCCTTTTTCATTGCTTGTTCGACTTGTAACGTATAATATTTTGCTCATACCATAGTACCTCGAGATGTCACACTGACAGGGTGCCCCTCAGGACTTTAAAATGCTACTGATATACTAGTTCTTATTCATCAAGGAGGGTTGAGTCTCAAGATGATGCATATGTTCGAAGTACTCCGAGACCGTTAATGATACTTGACGAGGTGCGTGTTCACCCAGTACAGTAAGATTTAGTTTTGGGGCTACCCAAGTGAGTGAGGTACGAGTGTAAGAATTGCGACTTTGTGATGCAGCACTCGGCCTCTCTTGTTTCCGCACCAGTGCTCATGCCACGCTCCAGCAGGCTCAAACCTGCCTGCTGCTGCTCTCCTTTTCCCCAACTACCACTCACTTGTCCTCATTGTCTCTCGGATCCTCGTAGCCTACATTACTACTTGTCCCTAAAGGCAGTCAGTTTCAACTACATACTAGTACTATGCATCCCTCTTCCGAGTCCAGGAGCCCAGGTAGCTGGCATCTAGACCTGCTGAGTTCTAGGCTGCTGCTGCGAGGCTTACCCACCAGCGCTCGCAGCTCACGTCGGCTGTCTCTTGGACAGCTTGGGGGCCAAGTCGTCCCTTCATGTTGTTCTCCCTACCACTACTAAGACTGCTGCACGACAGCAAACTCATTTTTTTCCCCCGAGAATTGAGTGAGAAGGCTTTGCTTGTATTTTCTGGAGTCACAACAATCTTATACAATGGTATCATACGCATGGGTAGAACGTAATCATTCATGAGGAGCCCGACCAAGCGCCTTTACAAGTCTTGATTTGATGTCTTGTTCATGAGAATCATTCGTAAGATCCATAGCCAGAAATTTGTAGGTGGCGATTCCGGCGGCCTTGATATTTTCTTGTTCCTCTGCGGTCATTTTCTCTTCTAAAAGCTGCCCTAGTTCATGGTCGCCCAGCAATTTGCTTGGCGTATCAGTGATTAATTTCTCCGTAGGTGTGTAAGAGGAAGAAAAACTACCTGACGTATTGCGCACGCTGCGCGATACGGGACGGCAAACCAAACATCGTAGCACATTGAGCTGCATGAGAATTGAGGGAAAGACCCGGGGAAACACTGGTTCGTGAATTAGGTACGCCGATGATTGCATAAACCCAGAAGGTACCGATAAAGATAGGTTATTTTCTCTCCGGGGGCAGCGACGAATGTAGGTTCCAAGTGTTCGTGATCGGTTGAGTCTAGGTCCTCAGATATCGACACGTCGCCGGGATTGAGGTTGTTGCCATTGCTTGAAGTGAAGAGCACTTGCATGTGGAAAAACATGATCGGAAACGTGTGGGGATTGAGCATGTCCTTCTGAAAGACTTCATGGAAATGTGTGGCAGCTAAAACCTTAGGACACTGAGATCCCCTGTTGAGAAGATGTTTGATGACACCGCAAAACAACCCAGCCCCGTCTATGAACAAGTAAGAATCGACAATTATGCTTGTACCGTGAAGCGAACGAGCCTGCAGGGATCGTCCCCTTTCCGAATTCATCAAGGAGAATGAGAGAGTTTGCGGTACAATTCCGGAGGGCCAGGGAAACCTGATTGAGATCAATCATAAAAGCAGATTGAGCCTTGCAAGCCAGTTTAGTATAGGAGGAAACCGGGGGCACTGCAATAATACTTTGGATACTGATTCGCGGGTCTGTATACGGGTAAAGACTGTAGAGAAGGGTTAGTTGACATAAAGCGAAACAGTACAAAACGTCACTTTTGTCGACGATTCCCAGGGTGGCAGATGCCGCTGGAACGAAACTTCACAGGGTCATGGAGTACGGAAGCAATCACGAGTCCCTTACCAGCCGATCTAAGTTATTCAAGAGTTATGAGTAATCCAATAAATCAGAGCGGTTGCCAACCTGGGCCATATATTGAATCAGAGCAACCTGGTTTCATTTCAATACACCCTGACATGTGACTGGTCAGATCTTTACCTGTTTCAGGTAGACGCTCTGCATTGTGCAAGAGGGAATTGAGCTGATATTGTAACGTGTAACTTGAACCTACTTTTCCGCATGCATTCGCGCCAGTGCACAAAACAATGCTGCTACACATAGGCAGATTGTCAACTTCTGTCTGCGGTTCGGCGCTGTCACTGAAACCGATACCAGCTACAAGCTGAGCATTATTGGGAACAAAAATGTCGACTACCTGCTCTTGTAAGGGATGTCTTACGAGAGAAGGTCAATAATGTAGCAAGTAGCACTCCACGATGCTCACCGTCCTTGATCGATGTCGATAACAGGATCCTCTGACATCTGAGGTCGACAGTAATTGTATGCCCGAGAAGCCTCCGCAAAGGCTAGCAGGCAGTCCAGTTCGGCACAAACGTCACATGCTTGTCTCATCCCTTCGCTGAATACAAGGATCCGTTCCAGGAGCTCTTGGACGATCTCTATTTCACGGTCTGTCGCACGTGAGTCTTTTGCTGATGAGAAGCTATCAAAACTCGCACCGACTATTAATGGGTGGAGATCGCCGATGTGCATATCCATGTCTTAGACCTGAATCACACGCTTTCTCTTAATAAGGATCAAGGCAAAGCTTACCATCCATCTCTTCTGATTTGAAATACACATGGGCGCTGAAAAGACGCCGTTCAGTCACGAAATCAATCATTAACAAGACTTATCGCTTGCTCTGAGGAGAACTGAACGATTAGGTCAGTCCACTACATCAGATATAGCAAGGACAATGTCGGGACTTACCTGGAAGCTCCATCCATCTAGAACCTCGATGCCCTCCTCAGTCGTCCATTCCTCTTGCATCGGAACGCAGATCAAAAAACCTGCCAACGGAAATCGTTGAATATACATTTATACTAGGTTCGAGAATGCATCACCTAGCTGTGGGAAATATACCACGTTCAGGGACGCCGTATAATCTACAGGAATCTTTTGGCATATTTGCTCAGCGACTTTACACTATAACATGTTGAGCAAATGACAGAGCATCTTTGAGACAGGAATGACCCCACCAAGACAGCGTCCAATCCAGCGTAAACGTGTTTCCTCTGATCTAGTTCCTCGTCGATGTACGGCCTGACACATATGCGATTGTTGCTGGTAGATTCCTCCCAGTCAATCTAACCAGTGAAGGAGTAACTTAGTAAATAGAAACAACAATACAAGCACTTACTGTCTCATTGACAGCATTTCCGGTGTCCTTGAAGCTCCCAATGTCCAACGTTGCAACCAGCTAACAATTCATTCAGTCCAGCTTCTCCTGGCGAGCCGCTCACCGATACCATACCTTTCGTACTACCTCTACTCGATCACCTCCGTGAAGTTCCGCCAGGGCGTCGCGTAGCATTGCAGAGTGATATGTAAACTTCGCTTGACGTCAGATCGAATTTGAAACTAGAACCGGGTGAATCATACCTTCACCAGGCCTTGCCAATCACTGACGCCAGCTTTCCCAGATCGCAAGAGTCCGAGGATCCTCGGAATATTCTTGATACCTTTCAAGTGAGTTTGCAAAGCACTCGCAGGTGCTAAGTTCTCCGGATGTAGAAAGCAGTCAATAGCGTCATGGCGGGCGGCGATTACAGGAATGGATAGAGACGGGCGCATGAGCCAGGTGCGGAGCAAGGAACGACCCAAGGGTGTCCGAGTATTGTCAAGGATACCTGTACATATTGATGAACGTGACGACATCGAAAGTCGTGATAACATACCAAAAAGCGACAAACCTTCCTTTGTCTTATCAGAGTGGATGGATGCGTGGCTTTCGTTTTCGAATATCTGGAGAGAACTGTACTTTACCGGTTAATGTACTCTCAAGGCAACGCCCTGATGCCCCACTTACAAAAGTGCATCAGCATTGATATGCATGACCTGATCTCTTAGAAAGGAGTCAACACAATCCTATGTAAAACGTTTGCAATACCGACTCACATGGTCAACACTTCGATGCCGGAGATGTGGAGCCCCTCGACGCCTGCATCATCATCTAGTTCGCCCGCTGCTCGCTCCCTCGCAAGGTAGTCGAGCAGAGCGCCAAGGCATGAAATCTATGGTTTCATGAATGAGACAAAATACTGCATCCGCGTATCTAGACGCACACAAAGAGGAGAAGATTCCACCGATGCATAGTTGGCCAACCTAATCGCCGCGTTCCATCTTTTCATAGTTGGATCGCCTGCCGGCTGTTTGCGTTTCTGCATGAATTCATATGCGTTTCTTGGCTCAGCGCCTGAACTGCTGTCGGATGACAATTGTCCAGTATCTTCAGTTGTCAACTCGGAGAGAAGAGGGAGCGACAACAAGCGGTCTCTCCCCCTGTGAGGAGTGAACTCTTTATGCGGTCTGATTTGAAAGACACTTCCAGAAGCCTCAGCTGAGCCATTGGGTTGAGTACCTGCGCATATATGCAGTGGTAATAGAGAGCATACCAAATTTCTGAAGGACCGCTATAAATGGGTCGTCGGCTTTGGAGCTGGTCAACACTATGTCAGCGTTGCATTGTTCTAGAACTGGTACAGGTTCAGATGGGCGAAATGATGAGAAGGATTCCACTCAACGCATGTTCGTAAGATCGAAGTGAACATCCTCTTGCGTATCTTCAAGCACATAGACTATGCACCTGACAGAATCATAGTATGCGCCTGCAACGCGTCCTCTGGAGGAAACACGCTAATATGCATTAGAAACACGCACTCATTGAACGACTTACGATTGGCAAGACATCGTCAAGCAGATCTGACTAGATGGTCAGCTTCACGGGACACAACACTCTTTGAGAAACTTCACCTTTGACGTGTTCGCATTGTCCTCCGAGATACCGTTCTCCGTATTTGCTACCGCTGCCACTGATTCAGAATTACCCTCCCATCTGACTTTCTTTCGTGGTAACTGGATGCTCTCTTCAGTGTCGGACTCGGCTGTCTGATTTTGCTCGTGGTTTTGTGCGCTCTTAGCGACTTTGTTTTTACGGTGATTAGAAGACCTATTTTGTTTTGTCCTCTTCATGTCGTTCCGATGCGTGTCTGTGGATGGTAAGCGGTAACTTGCAATTGACTTGCAACAACTAGAAATTACACTGTTACGTACTGACATAGGCGCTAGGGCAACCTTGAGTTGAATCCAAACCGAGTCCTCGCGAAATATCATTATTATTATGTCAGGTCTGAATATATGTCATGTGCGGTTCCGTCAACGCGTCATTCATTCATGTAGGTGACCAAAAATCCCGCTACATACTTATCTTTTCATCTTTGTGTTCTACTAGTAATGCTGGACTCCAACTCGGAGTCATCCACCAGAGGCGTGCAATCAGCCAAGCAAATGCGTCAATAGAAGATATGTGTGTTCCTGCAGTTTGAAGTTCAATATGCAAGCTCATAGTCGACATGTGCATTTTCATTAGCAGCGACAGTACAATGACGACGAGATGCGGACAAGGTAATAGGATTACTTCTTTACTTTCAGTAACTCTTTTGTGTCCTCTCCAGTCACTGTGTAACAGAGAATTTGTTAGTAGCAATCGTCACAAAGTAGGAGACAACGCACCATTCAACAAGAGGCTCTGGGCATCTAACATCACTTTATTCCCTGAGGAGGCTAGCATGTTGGCGATATCCCTTGCGGCCTCAAGCCGACGAAGCTCCAGAAATCCTTTATTCGTGCGCATGGCTTCACCAATCAGCTCGGCACTCTTTGCCTCACCTTGAGCTCGCACTATAATAGACTGTAGAAGACACATCAGAACTAAGAAAAACCGATAATCACTACAAGGATATATTACCTGCTTTTCTTGGATGGCCTGATCAACCAAGAAGGCAGCCCTCAAAGCTGTTTGTTGAGCGACCTGTAGGGCAAGATTATCTCGGTGAATGGGATATGTACCAGATTACTTGCCTGCTTGGCCTCGACAGCATGCGTGAACTCAGGTGAAAACGCCACATGGGTAATAGACACATCGTCTAGCACCACATTAAAGCGCAATGCACGATTCGTCAAGTTCTCGCGAATTAACCGGGACACCTGACACATAACCCATCGTCAGTTTACAACAGGGTAACAGGTGAAAATACTCCGCACCATCTCACGTTGTGTAATAAGCTGACTTGCATTGAACTGTGCGACCACACTTTTGAGGACTTCGTTAACTATAGACGGTAGTACGCGCTCGTCATAGTCTTTTCCTAGTTCACGGTATATTTGAGGCAGAGCAGATACAGCCGGCCGTGACAGAACTCTGCAAGTAATGTTGACCATTTGCAAATCTACAATTCCAAATTAAGCGGGTACAGGTGTGCCGCAAGCTGCAGACGTCACCTTTCGTGCCAGTCAAACTTGCTACACTCCGAGGCTTTGCACGAATGTCGAAAACTATTGGAGTCTCGAACCAGGGAACCTGAGGAGCGTAAGCAAACAAAATGCGTTAAAAAGAGTGGTACGAACCATGAGATGTGTCCCTTCGCTGTACACCTCATCCTTAACACCCTGGAGACTGAAGCCGGATGAGCCATCAACTCAGAAGGTGCCTGACACAACAGCCTACCGAGTATATTTGATAGCTCTGTGACCACCATCAACTTATTTGAGTTGTCAGAAGCCGCTACAAAAATCCCGATATGAGGCACACCGTTGAACAAGCTCGCATTCAGAAGAAGTCCACCGCCCACTAGCGCGACTATAAGGCCTCCGCCTGCGAGGAAGCGACCTGGACCTCCTGGCATCCCACCACCACCTCCTGACTGACTAGCCCTCTTTATTTGTTGAGCAAAATTTCTGAATGCGTCTTGACTATTCATGGTGTCGATTATGCCCTGCAGACTCCAGAGTGAAGAAAGTTCGAAGCCTACTACGCAACACACCGGCACACATCACGTGCTCCTTCATGAAATTTCAAATTTGCCCCCGAAAAATCTAATCTTGATTTTGGTCTTGTTTTCTCCCATCTCCTTTAAGCGCTGAGCTACCAGGCGGTACCATCTGTAACTCATCAATGTTCGGGGAAGGAAATGCAGCCAGCAGTGTCGTGCGTAATCGCGTGTTCCAATCGACCCCTGTGCTGACTTCGAATTTTATTGAAGCTTGGATGGATTTCAATAGCATGCTGGTCAGTGAGGCAAAGAATTTATGCCAAAAAATCAGGCTCATCTTTCACAACCTCTGCAGGATCGTCGTTTATTCTCCTCAGATAATTGAGAATTACCAACTACAGAGCGGGGAGGGTTTATCCCTTCTTTTCATTTATGTATGGTTGCTGGGTGATGTATGTAATCTTATGGGTGCAGTGATGGCCGGGTTGCTGCCTACCGTGATCATCCTTGGAGTTTATGTGAGTTTTATGTGCTACTTGTAATATACCTCCCTGATGTGATACCCTTTTCGGCTAGTACACTTTATGCGACACAGTATTGCTTTGCCAAGTATACTATTACCGATGGAAGCGGCAAGCCGGGCGGCACGTTGTACCTGTGCATATCACAGGGGAGGTTTCCGAAGAAACCTGCCTTATTACTGATAGTCGCTCGGCGGATCCCCCCGAAAGACCAGAGCTCTCGATCACGCGAATTTTTGTGCGGTACCTGGCCGCTGTCTCATTTGTATCAGTCACTGGTGTGGCAGCGTATTGTATCAGCAACTGGCTTCCCAGCGATGACACCCCTCCAGCCCTTCCAGATACGAAGCTGGATTGGCATATCCAGGTAATAGGGTGGACCAGCGCCTCTGCTTATCGTGTGTTCCTGTCATGCCATGTGTGGATACCTTCACTTACCACCTTCCTCGACAGTTGGTGCTCGGCTGCCGCAAATAGGTCAGTATGACTCACGCCTAACGCCAGTCCCACTGTTCTAAATCTCCGTTCAGTCAAGAACTTCAAGACCAGATGTGAGGGTCTTGCCCCTGGGTTATTTGTCTTCTCTATTCTGGGAAACACGACATACGCATTATCTATTATTGCTGCATCTCGCGACGCAGATTATCTGATCAGGAATGCAAGCTGGCTAGCAGGTATTTGCCCATGACTTATGTACTTAGTACATGCGGTTGACTAATCGCTTAAATCCTTTAGGTAGTGGTTTGACCGTCTTTCTCGATATTCTTGTACGTCCAATCGCTCTCTGCCAAATAGATTTCATTACTCAGAACTCTAATTCTCCTATCTCTAGGTGCTCAGCCAGTTCTTTTATTACGGATTTGTTTCAGGGCAGCGAGGCTGGATCGATAGAGTTCCGGTGTAATGCCTATCAGAAAACCGTATGTACTGTTCCTAGACCTCAGTAGAACATTACGGACTGCTTTTACGCATATGTTATCTATTTAAATCGTACCTCGCTGACCGAGATGACGCACGCTCGTGAAACTGATTGCATTGCCATTTTGCCCAAAAAAACATCGAGGGAAGATGTCTATGGTACAAATGACCCATATCCTTGGATTTTGCAGTTCTTGTTAACTGTGTGGGAAAGGGATTCGGATCGAACCAGGGACTTTGCACTTTGTTTGAATCTCACTTTGCCTCGTTGCTCTCCTCGTGTCCGAATTGCTATTTTGCCGCCGCACGTTGCAAGTTTCATCAAACAATTCCGGACGAAATGTCCTCCTGGAGTAACTCAATACAACATGCTCCTGGCCTCGTGCCAATATCAACGGACACCGCAAGTTTCCATTATTTCGCAGGTACATTCTTATCCGTGCGATCAACTTAAAACCTTCCAGTTCTCGTCGGATTAGGTCCCCATCTTTCTGTCCGGTCAACTTTGTACGTACCAGGATGATCACAAATGCAGGCATGTCCTATCTTATTCATCGATTAACTGCGATGACACTTATGTGTACACGCACAGGTGGTGTTTGAAAACGTTCACGGCTAGTCAAGCCGCATTTTATTGAAAGCCCTACAACCACATCACCGTTATTAATTCAGCACTTTTACGTGCGGTTGTTCAGCACTCATAAAGAGTTCAGCGACAACCACGTACCCATCGATCACCTGTAGCCATCATACTATATGATGCAGTGGCCATCTTTATCTCGCTCAGCTAGAGACGATACCACCACTATCATCGCTGATCGCCGTGGTTCAAAGTTACCCGATGTGACTGCCGCCTTTCTTACTCGGCCATCTAGCGTATCATCCTCGACGTCCTCATCACCAACGTCCCCTCCTCCACCTTATGAAGCGATTCATTTCCTATCTCAGCCGGTTTCGCAATGCGTTCCAGGTTTTGTCCCAACGCCGTCTGCCAACGGCGGACCGCCTCGTCGTCGTGAGAGCTCTGCGCTATCCATGACACGATACAATGTCGACCACTCGCTCTCAGGAGGAAGTTCAACTTCGGGTGTGTCCATCCCTCATTTGAGGGAGGCACTAGACTCCCTGGATACTCAGATGGCATCCTTGCTCAACCAGCGCCAGGAGCTAGAGTCGCATCTGGATCAAGTTGTTCGATCCCAATCTCCTATCCATCGAATTCCGGAAGAACTCCTTTCGTCGATATTCGTTGCAGGAGTGTGTAATATGGGAGAGGATGACCCACTATTGGTAGCGACCTTAATGTTGGTTTGCCGATATTGGAGGGACATCGCCATCGACACCCCAGAACTGTGGGCGGATATCTGCGTGAGTCCGCACGACTCCCTTGAGAAAGCGCATCGCAAGCTCGCACGTTCAAAATCGGTACCTCTTGATATCACGATCAACTTCACTCCTCGAGTTGACAATTCAAGCGGCGCCATGGAGAGTATTATTCATGCGATGGATCTTATCCGTCCTGCGCTTTGGCGAGCAAGGTCCTTTCGCCTCAGTGTTCCCAACAAACCACAGGCACATGCTGCCCTTCTGCGCTGTAAAGAAGAAGCTCCCCATTTGGAAAGTCTTTGTATCCGCGTATTCCATTCTATGCAGGAAGATCATTACTCCAGCCCCTGCCTTCCGCTTTTTAATGGGCACACTCCCCGCCTTCGTTCGTGCTCTTTCACGTCCTTTAATTTCAATTGGGACAGGAGAGTTGTATCAAACCTGCGTGTGCTCCAACTAGGGGGCTACTGGAACGGGTCTTCACCATCTGTCGACATCTTGCTAGATATTCTGCGAGGCTGTCCAGGTCTCGAAGAACTTGCATTGCGCAACATGTCGGACGTGGATCCTGAAACTTGTGTTTCTCTCGAACATGAGTTTATGTCTACGAAGGTTGTGAAACTCCCAAGGCTTACCAAGGCATCATTCTATTACGCAGGCATCATGCGCACGCGGATGCTTCTTAGTCAAATATCGTTCCCTGCGCTTGAGTCCCTCGACTTCTGCTACCTCGACAACCTCACACCAGTTTTGGAGCACCTTCGACAGCAATCTCTTACTTCCCTTCCACTGAAGTATCTTCGTATTGAGTCAAGTTTCTTGAACGAACCGAAGTTTATAATACTACTTCAGCGACTAACATCATTGGTTACTCTGGAGTTGGTGGATGTGGAAGATATCACATGCTTCTTGTTGAAGGTGAGCATCCACATAACCGTGTCATCAGCGCATATTCCAATTACCTTTCATCAGAATCTTTCCTCGCCGCCTGTGGCCCATCCTTGGGTGTGCCCCAAGCTAGACCGTCTCAACCTTGACGGGTGCACTGCACTCGAATGGGATGCTCTACGAGGACTTGTGGAATCTCGCCTCTCTGGTCGTCCACCTCAACTCTCTTCTGCTTCGACTGCAGTAGCTTCGCGCTCATCCTTCGTATCCACCGCGTCTGCCTCTGCCCATATCCACGCCTTGTCCCTCAGCCGTTCTGCGACGCCCACAATGCAGCCTCGTCGTCTATCGTCGATTGATGTTACACGCTGCCATCAGATCAGCAAAGAGATGGTGCAGTGGCTCAAGATGTACGTCCGCGACGTTCGCTGTGAGCCGGCGAAGGGGATATGGGGAGAGTCTATACTACCCTAGTGCTGAACGGCTCCCGATTAATATTTCTCGCGAACATACACACCTAGATTGCAAATACTTGAACTGATGTGCTATGTGGATTTCCTGTACTGATTGTATATTGTACTTACCCGCACGATGGTGTCTGCACGCCACGGCATTATGTATGTAACGAAAGACTGTCACTTATTAAAATATTGCTCGTGTACAGTTTGTAGTTTTCATGCAATTCACTTGATCTCATTTAATACGAGGTCGTAAACTATTCGTTAAGATATGCAAGCATATGTTTCCTTTCATTCTCTTCGCGCTTTCGTACCTTCGAAAATCCTCTTCGACCTCTGCCAACTTCAACCCTCTTCTTTCGCAGTTCCTCAGAGGTCCTAATGTGGGATGCCAATGCCGCTTGGTTATGAGTAACCCGCTTCTTCGACTGCTTGTATGGGCCCTCAGTTTTCGCCTTCAAACCAATCCCGAGGCGGTCAGATTTAAGTATCGTCGGAATAGGCGTCAACAGCGACTTCTGGGTGTACGGATCATGTCCTTGAGACGCACTGGACGCTGGAGCAAGCGGAAGAGAAGCAGATCGGTGAAAAGATCCAAAGCCATCTTCTGGCTCTGACTCTGACTCTGACTCTGATTCAGATTGGGTGAGATCAATGACGTCTGGGGGTATATCTCGAGATTTATTGTCGCCGACTAGTATGCTTGCGCCCCGCAAGGGTGCATGCGAGGTTGATACAGGTGATCGGGGGCGCAGAGATCGAGCGACATGTGCACCAAGCCCTTCCCCTTCGTTCCAGCCACCCTTCTGTAGCAGATTAAAGCCTTTGTTGGATGGCCCTATTGCCAGCCAGACTGGAGGAACAAAACGTGCCTCCGATGGTAGCGGTGGCGGATCTCGTGCAAGAAGGTCTGCCAATGACGGTGCGGGAGAGCTGGGTTTGCTCGGTGGTTCAGACTGGAGCGCTCTTTTGATGAACCAGTTGTTCTTGGTGGTAGCCTCCTTCTTTGGCTTACTGGTAGAAGCTTCACTGGGTGTACTTGACGATCTAGCTGTCAGCGGTTGGTTCCCCGACATCTTGGAGCTATCTTTTGTCAAAGCTTTGTACCACTCAGAGATGCCGCTATCTGGAGCAGAGGCATTCGAAGATACTGTGTGGGTAAGCGAAACAGCAGAGCCCCACTCGTCGTACTGAATACGCGCGGGAACAAAGGATGGAGGTGGGGCATGGCGAGCAGCAGAGAAAGTTGGCGCTGTGTTCCATTGTTCTGTTTCGTCTATTGGAATTTGGCCCGTCTCTTTCTCTAGCTGCTCTCTATCTGCGGGATCATAGTCCGAACGAATGTGATGAGCGACAGTAGCCATACTAGTGCTGGTCGTAGTAAGCCCTTGGGGACTGTGGTCGGCTGTCTTTGACTAAGCGACTCTACACTTATTTGGAAACAATCACCCCTGTCGTCACCTACCTTAGAAACTGACATTGTATGACTATTCAATATCCAAAATACGCTGATTGACCCGTGATTACAGAACGTACGTGCGAGGTGACAACAAATATATGATACCAGTGCTATGTCCACCAAATGAGATTTGAGATGACCTATCAACTGATAGGCATGTTGGAACCATTATAGGAGAATCCTATGGCAAGCAGGGTGAGTCGAATTTCTCACATCTAAAAGGACATCGTAATTGACATACCAGCGAACTGAGCTTGGACGGTGGATGAGAGATGGGAGCCATCGACATAACTATCGATAGGCGCTTCGGCCGTGAAGACAGTGTCGAAGTTGGAAACATCCTAAACATCGACGGACTCAACAAACACGTACTCCCAGGGAGATATGCACTTACCACGGGACTTGACACACTTGGCTTGAACGGTGGTTGGATCTTTTTCTGCAGAAGCTTCTTGAAGTCGATGTGGTTTACGAAGAAAGGGTGCTTCTTAATCTCCTCAGCGCCATTCACTCCAAGTCGTTTCGAGGGATCTCTGTTGAGAAGACTAGTCAAGATGCTTCGGGCTTCTGTGCCAATGTCGGGGCCAAAGGTGAGCGGATCAGAAAGAATTTTCTGATACATCTTGTCCGTGACCTCTGAGGTAGATGGTTAATGGTAGAGATACAAATACAGTGATAGGACAAACCATCATAGAAGGGTGGGAGACCGGAGAGCATCTCGTACAGAAGTACACCAAGAGTCCACCAATCAATCGACTTGTCTAAAATAGATGATCAGGAGATCATACGACAGGCGACGAAGTGGAACTGACTATATCCTTGACCGTTCAGGATCTCCGGTGCAAGATATTCCGGTGTGCCACAGAACGTGTTTGTCGTGTCTGAATCCTTCATATTGAGCTTACATAACCCGAAGTCGCACAATGCGATGTGTCCAGTATAATCCAAAAGAATGTTTTCTGGTTTCAGATCGCTGGACTTCGATGAGTACAGCATAAAAAGAGGGAGGGGGTGCGCCTACCGGTAGACGACGTCGAGTTCATGTAAATGTTCCAGAGCTAATAGCAACTCAGCACTGTAGAATCGCGATCGTTCCTCGTTGAACCGCTGTTCGCGTTGCAAGTGGTGGAACAATTCTCCTCCATTGACAAAGCTAAAGGGTGTACTCGTGAATAACCCCGAGAGGCGACCGTTGAAATAACCTTACGCAAGTACCAAGTACAGCTTCTGCTCGGATTGGAAACTGAACTTCAGGGGCACGATGAAGGGGTTTTCGACACGCGCGAGTACGAGCCGCTCGGCCAATGTGTGCGTGATTTCTTTTCGGTCGACTATATGAGCTTTGCGGATAGTCTTGAGGGCATATATCCGCATAGTGTCGCGCTTCCTGACTTGCATGACCTGCAAGGAACGTAGGTACGACTATTCGCACGTTAATCTTGCAACCCACCTTGCCAAAACTGCCTTTTCCAATGACAGTGATGAGCTCAAATTCGTCGATAGTCAGAGATTGGCCCTGTCAACTTCGTTAGTCTCTCATAGCTCGAAACTCGAAACATAAAGTCACTGACAGAGCTAGGCTGGTATGCCACGCCGATTTGAATCTTTCCTTTGCCACCAGTCATGTCGTGCCACTGGTCTTGACCCACGACGCCAATGTTATCAAAGTCCGGCGTGAACTTGATTCCGCCCATGAAGATATCATTGCCCATATCATCCGCTAAACCATCGCTGCCGACTTTGGGCTGTTCGGTTCTCAAGTAGCACTGTATTGAAATTTCTGAGTGGCGCGAGACGTCACTGGCAGCGAATTCAGGACGAGCCATACGTGATATAGAATAGACACTCACAACTGGGCCTGGTACATATACAATGGTTTCTCCAGATCACCACCCAACGGGGTAATGAGGACTTGATTGACTTCGAACTCCATTACCAGGTAGGGTAGCCACCAGCATTGTGTACGCTGGATACTGTCTTTTGCGCCATGACGCTTCACGAGCCGCCTCTGCGTTACGCTCGAGGGAGATACAGACGCTGCGACTTTGGCCTGTTGCGTGGACAGCGCTGTTTGTACAGCAGAAGGGACCGTGGTGCCTACAGGAAGGGCCAGGTCTTCAGCCCATAGAACGCGTATGCTGAGAAGACCGGTGCGTGAAGTAGGTTTTCCCGCAGGATTACTTGGTGTCGGAGTAGTCGACCGCGGAGGCTCGTCGGGGCATCCAGCAGACAAGGTGGCTGTTGAAGCTTTTTTAGTCAATTTCCCGAATCCCTTCAACATGGGGTCTAGTGAATATTAATGACCAAAGGAAGAAAATATTGTGCAGTTAAGGCGACGCGGGAGGACTGACAAAACAAGTTGATGGTCTATGTTACACCGTCGCAGTCAAGCGCGTTACGGTTTATGGAAATGGGCAATAGCACGTGGCAATCTAGACTCTCCGAATCGGACAACTCTACTGCTACTAGTAGTACTGTGAAGCAACCGATGCGAGTCACAGCCCACATGTGCTTAGGCATGCAGTCTCAAGCTTCGAAGTCGACGATTTTATTATTAACTATGATTACCCGCGAGAGTGCCACAAACCCTTTATTGGAACGAACTACGACTGTCTTTTTCTGTTATAGGACTGGAGCTAGCCGGCATCACAAGTCTCGAATCAGCCAGAGCCCATCGATAAGCAAGTGTATCGCCATCGTGACAAGTACTTACGAGTCTATGCTTACTATGACTCCCACACCGATACCCTCGGAACCCACGAGGAACTGATGGAGTCAAAGTCTTACGAGTGATAAGTGTATACGTACTTACTGCGTATGACACCCGATTGGCTCCCAAAGCTCATGATTCGAAAACTCGACAATTCTAGGGCCGTCATTCGAATCTGGGACTGTTATTTTCTCTCAGCACCCTCTGAGGGATGAGCACGAGCAAGACTTGGGCAGGTAAACTCCAGTTTCTCGTTGGCGCCAAAGAAACGAGTGAGACTCCGATGGTGATTGACATGCTTCCATCCCGTCGGAAAACCCAACGCATGTCGACGGGTAGTAATTGATCTAAAACCCCTTGTCCTTCCGACGGAAAGTCACTTCAGGAAGGACCACCGTTGGCGCAAGGCCCAAGATAGTGCAAAATGCCGAGCACTTGCACAAGCTTACATGGCACTAATTTACGTTGTCAGTGACACAAAGGAGGCAGGGAAATGTCTGATGCGGTGATCGCACCTCATACTGTGTGCTGCAACAGCAAGTCCTCCTGACCAACTCCTGACTTATCGCGTTTTGGGGCAATTTAAAATGTGTTTTAATAACGGTCAGGAACAACCCGGTTTCCGTACAACTCTCATGATCAGCCGATACAAAGAGTAGGAAGATCCACCATGATTCGAATAGTGGGCGACTATAAGGTCCCTTAGAAAAGGTAGTACGGTGATATCCATAGCTTGGAAATTAATATGGACGTTGGCTGGATCGAATCTGATTTTTGAACAACAATGAAAATAAACGAGGCGAGCGACCTTCGCAGTGTTTTCTAAAGCAGGAATACGAGTATCGGAAATGATATTCATCATGAATGCGGGCCGCGAGGTTTGCTTGTATGTCCGCGAATTTGAAAAACAGTTCGCTTTGAATTTTGAGGCGTAGCAGGTGGTGTTATGCCAAGGGCTATGATAGCGTTATCGGACAATGCTTGGTATTACCAAAAGCGGGTTGCTTCCTCCGGGGGACATGACTGTGAGTGGCCCCAGTGACTAGTGGCTAGGTGACTGAGTCGAATTTTCCATCTGTAAATCAATGCTGTGTGGAGTTGAGAAACCGGGTTGTATTTCAAAGGTGATCTTCATCCGCGGAGATGGACGGCGAATACATTCTTCGATCTGAAAAGTGTCCAGATGTGGTCGGTCAATCTGTTGAAATACGAAGATGAGAAGTTGGCATGAAGAGAGAAACCCCACTACCTGAATAAATATAGAGATGTATATACCTTTGGCACCAGTAATCGGTATGCTCTCGTAGAGAGTGATCTCACGCGAGGGAGGATGCGTCGATCTCCAAGCCGTGTTGCGTTGGAGCTGCCCAGTTACCGATGTCAATTGCGTGAGTAATTAATAGCAACTGACGTCACTAATGCATGGAAAACCTTGAGAAGCCTCCGAGTTGTAGTGCATCAAGTTACATGCATGACCATTGCCTGTCGACCACGCTTGGAACTTTGGCTTGAGGGAGTTCGAGACTCGTGGTCACTCAGGCTAGGGTTCGGGGAATCAGGATTTAGAAATTAGGGATCTCGTTCTGGTTGCTGTCGTCGCTTGACGAGCAAATCAGCACGACCCTCAAACAAGGGCAGGTACCTGGAACGCTTAAATTTACCCACCCTGAACCCTACTCAGGCTGATATAGAAAGTCGAGTCTGTGAAAACATCTTCTTTTAAAGAACACGGTGGGCAGCTAACCAGCACTAGTCATTGACATTAGTATCAAAAAGGGACGAGCTGCGCAGTTCTTTGCAAACTCGAATGACGCAGAGATAGTACACGGTGAGCGCCTATCACATCGGACTAAATTTTTTTGGACATAGCTGTGAAAAAAACTGCAAAGGGCGCAATGTGTTCCGACGGTATTACGTAATGTTTTTTTATAGTATCATGTATTGATTTGAAATTGAAATTTAATGTTTCGGACCCGGGTCCAGGGTGATGAAATGACTGCATGAGGAGGGCTGAGTTTGATAGCCATAGCACGAATATCCGGGATACGGTAGTCTCGAATACAGCATGCGCAGCATATCTGTGCATGCACAGGGCCCGTGTTACCCATCGCGGAAGGGAACAGTAATAAACCTCGTGGGTGTTACGTCGGCAGCCTCAGGTCCCCTATGGTTACAATTAGATGACTAACCGCATTGACGTGACCGGGCCACTACTGGTATATATCCAGAGATGCCGCGAGTCAGCGTAATGCCACACCACTCCGAACTGAGTATAGATCCCTGGATCCTGTTTAATTTAACAGGTCCATGCAAGTACGCCCCTCCTTAGTAGCCCATTAAGCCCATTTCTTGTGGTCTCTTCAAGATCATGTCAGACAGCCACCTCTCCACGCCTGGCGAGAAGCGGCCTGCTTCTCAGGACACTCACACATCACAAATCAAGCCCAAGAGCAGCTTTCTCTCGGGGAATAAGGATGCATCCATCGTAGTCGAGAAAAAGGATCCAGATGATCATGATGATGTCGTTGTGGATGCAAAGCTAGCCCAATCCATTCAACCTGTTTCATTTTTTTCGCTGTTCCAGTGCGTTCCTTTTTACATTCAACTCGTATCTCAACCTGATCTGTCAACAGGTTTTCTACTTCGTTCGAGATTATAATTGACATCATCGCTATAGTCTGCGCGGCGGCGGCTGGCGCAGCTCAGGTGAGTTTCGTCAATTCGAGTCATGCCACAATTTACGTATTGTTCATCAGCCTCTCATGAGTTTGCTATTTGGGAATTTAACCCAAGATTTTGTCAACTTCAGTTTGGCAGACAACAATTATACCGCATCGTTGCAAAGCGGCAATCCTACTACCATTGCACAAGCTCAACAGATCCTAAACGCCGCTGCAGTTGGATTTCGCAAGAGTTCTGCACTAGATGCCTCCTATCTGACATACATTGGTGAATCCATAATTGTCTTTATATCAACTGCCCATTAACTGTCTTTACAGGCGTCGGCATGTTTGTGTGCACATATGTGTACATGACTGTTTGGACTTATACCGGCGAGGTTAATGCGAAAAGAATACGAGAACGGTATCTCCAAGCGGTGCTCCGTCAGGAAATTGCTTACTTCGATGATGTCGGAGCTGGAGAAGTCGCTACTCGCATTCAGACCGATACTCGTGAGTTATTATGGTCCCATAATTTTTTTCTGCCTTGTTGACGTAACAAATAGATTTGGTACAACAAGGCATATCCGAAAAAGTCCCTATCGTCGTGAGCTTCCTTGCCGCATTCATTACTGGTTTCGCCCTCGCATATGCTCGATCATGGCGCCTTGCTTTGGCATTGACATCGATTTTTCCATGCATCGCCATAACCGGAGCTGTCATGAACAAATTCGTCTCCAAGTATATGCAGTAAGTGTTTCTTCTCTGGGGAACAAAGGTCCCTTGATGCGATTCAATACAGATTGTCTCTCAACCATGTCGCCGAGGGAGGATCCCTTGCTGAAGAGGTCATTTCCACTGTCCGAACTGCGCAAGCTTTCGGAGCTCAGAAATTCTTGACGTCTTTGTATGACAAGCACATCGATGGTTCCCGCAATGCTAACTCTAAGGGTGCCATCTGGAATGGTGGAGGACTGGCCTGCTTCTTCTTTGTCATTTATTGCGCGTATGCTCTCGCCTTTGACTTTGGCACTACCCTCATTAATGAGGGGCTCGGTAAGTTCTCATATTCTTGAAGTGATAGAAGAACTTTTCTAATCTTGTAAATATAGCCAATGCCGGCGCAGTCGTAAATGTCTTCTTGGCTATCTTGATTGGTTCTTTCTCTCTGGCCCTTCTTGCACCCGAGATGCAAGGTAAGCTTTACTTCTTTTGTGTATCTTGCGCCGTCTCATGTTTCATTTCAGCAATCACCAATGGACGTGGGGCTGCAGCTAAGCTATACGCTACGATCAATCGCATTCCCTCAATAGACTCCGCTGATCCCGGAGGTCTGAGACCCGAAAAGGTCATTGGCGAGATCACCCTCGAGGACGTTAAATTCAGTTATCCATCCCGCCCCAACGTCCATATCATGAAAGGTCTCAGCATAAATTTCCCTGCTGGTAAGACTGCTGCACTCGTCGGGGCATCTGGTTCCGGAAAGTCGACCATCGTTTCACTTATCGAGCGTTTCTATGATCCTTCGAGTGGCTCCGTCAAACTTGACGGTGTTGATTTGCGGAAGTTGAACATAAAGTGGTTGCGATCTCAGATCGGTTTAGTTTCCCAAGAACCCACACTCTTTGCGACAACGATCAAAGGCAACGTCTTACACGGCCTCATCGGTACCCCACACGAGAACGCCTCTGAAGAAGATAAATTTAAACTCATTCGAGAAGCGTGTATCAAGTCAAATGCTGATGGTTTCATCACCAAGCTGCCACAAGGATATGATACTATGGTTGGCGAACGTGGGTTTTTGTTGTCAGGTGGGCAGAAGCAGCGTATAGCTATCGCTCGTGCCATCGTTTCCGATCCCCGCATTCTCCTTCTTGACGAGGCCACTAGTGCGCTTGATACGCAATCCGAGGGCATCGTTCAGGACGCATTGGACAAGGCTGCCGCTGGACGTACGACTATCACCGTCGCTCACCGACTCTCAACGATCAAAGATGCGGATAGGATCTTTGTCATGGGAGACGGCCTCGTTCTGGAGCAA